TCTATATATTTATTCAGCACCTGTCACCTGTTAACATTCATCCCATTCGTTGATGGTCTCCATGTTGGAAAGCTGAAGTTGATTGAATACATGACTATATTTCGTAAACTTTTTTTTTCCGGATTGCTGATAAATAAATAAACAAAAAAAGTTATTTTAAGTGTTTGATCTTTATTTGAATGTTTAATATTATCAAGCACATAAGAAAGCATTAACATATTATCAAGCACATGAGAAAGCACTACAAGAGCACAAAATACATACAAGAAAAAAAATCTGATAAACATGATAAACGTCAAACGATAAATTAAATGTCAAACATTTTGAGCACAGCGTAGACACTATTTAGTCACTGTTTCATTTAGTCCCTAGGGTATCCAGTCTATGAACTCTGTGATCTTTGTCTGTTTCTTCAGTTTTTCACCCAAACGCTCACATAGTTCTTCCAGTGCGTAAAAAGCACTAAAGTCCTCACAACCATTTTCCTCCAAGAAACGTCGAACGTTGGAGAGGGATTCCTTGTTCTCTGTTGAACTCACTGGTAGAGTGAAGCTTGTTTCTTCATCACTTACTTCTTCTTCCGGCTTTCTTGTTGTCTCTTCCTCTAAGAATTGAGCGCAGATCTCGTCATCTGTTATTTCTCTGTGACAATCGGTATCGTCGTCGTGATTAACAAAGTCGAAGAACTCTTCTCTCTCCATACACTCGGGAATAGTTGGTTCTTCTTCTGGCATTTCTTCTGTGCATTCGGTCTGAAAACCTGCCTTCCGGTAACAATTCACCACTGTAGTTTCTTTGACTCCCCGCCATGCTTTACTCAAAAGATGCACTGCGTCAAGTAGTGTAAGTCTTTTAGCAAGGTCCGTCGCTGTTGAGATGCTGCCGCTGTCGATCTCGCTCACCATTTTTAGCTCACCTCGACGAAGTCGAGATGAGCTTATGCTATACCCCCGGCGTCGGCGTCGGCGTCGGTGTCGGCGTCGGCGTTAGCGTCGGCGTCCCAGGTTAAAGTTTTAGGAGCAAGTCCCATTCCCAAGTAACTATAAGCCCTACCTAGACCAAACTTGCATGGATGATGCATCTAGGGATGGACACTACCACACTTGCTTCGGATGCTGGATCTGATCTAGATTTTCCAGATGAGTGACCAGGTTAAAGTTTTAGGAGCAGGTCCATTCCCAAGTAAGTATAAGCCCTACCTTGACCAAACTTGCATGGATGATGCATCTAGGGATGGACACTACCACACTTGCTTCGGATGCTGGATCTGACCTAGATTTTCCAGATGAGTGACCAGGTTAAAGTTTTAGGAGCAGGTCCATTCCCAAGTAAGTATAAGCCCTACCTAGACCAAACTTGCATGGATGATGCATCTAGGGATGGACACTACCACACTTGCTTCGGATGCTGGATCTGACCTAGATTTTCCAGATAAGTGACCAGGTTAAAGTTTTAGGAGCAGGTCTATTCCCAAGTAACTATAAGCCCTACCTTGACCAAACTTGCATGGATGATGCATCTAGGGATGGACACTACCACACTTGCTTCGGATGCTGGATCTGATCTAGATTTTCCAGATGAGTGACCAGGTTAAAGTTTTAGGAGCAGGTCCATTCCCAAGTAACTATAAGCCCTACCTTGACCAAACTTGCATGGATGATGCATCTAGGGATGGACACTACCACACTTGCTTCGGATGCTGGATCTGACCTAGATTTTCCAGATGAGTGACCAGGTTAAAGTTTTAGGAGCAGGTCCATTCCCAAGTAACTATAAGCCCTACCTAGACCAAACTTGCATGGATGATGCATCTAGGGATGGACACTACCACACTTGCTTCGGATGCTGGATCTGATCTAGATTTTCCAGATGAGTGACCAGGTTAAAGTTTTAGGAGCAGGTCCATTCCCAAGTAACTATAAGCCCTACCTTGACCAAACTTGCATGGATGATGCATCTAGGGATGGACACTACCACACTTGCTTCGGATGCTGGATCTGACCTAGATTTTCCAGATAAGTGACCAGGTTAAAGTTTTAGGAGCAGGTCCATTCCCAAGTAAGTATAAGCCCTACCTAGACCAAACTTGCATGGATGATGCATCTAGGGATGGACACTACCACACTTGCTTCGGATGCTGGATCTGACCTAGATTTTCCAGATGAGTGACCAGGTTAAAGTTTTAGGAGCAGGTCTATTCCCAAGTAACTATAAGCCCTACCTTGACCAAACTTGCATGGATGATGCATCTAGGGATGGACACTACCACACTTGCTTCGGATGCTGGATCTGATCTAGATTTTCCAGATGAGTGACCAGGTTAAAGTTTTAGGAGCAGGTCCATTCCCAAGTAACTGTAAGCCCTACCCTGACCAAACTTGCATGGATGATGCATCCAAAGGATGGACACTACCACACTTGCTTTGGATGCTGGATCTGACCTAGATTTTCCACATGTGAGACCAGGTTTAGATTTAGGAGTAGTCTCGTTCCCAAGTAACTATAAGCCCTACCTTGACCAAACTTTCATGGATGATGCATCTAGGGATGTACACTAACCAACCTGCTTCGAATGCTGGATCTGACCTAGATTTTCCACATGAGTGAATTTTAGCCATATTTTAACCAAATTAGCATGGATGATGTATCTAGGGATGGACACTTCCAGACTTGCCTTGGATTCTGAATCTGACGTACATTTTCCAGATGAGTGACCAGGGTAATTTTTTGGAGTAGCTATATAATATTATGGCCTATTATGATTAAACTTGCATAGATGGTGCATCTAAGGATGAAAACTTTCAGACTTGCTTTGGATGTTGGAACTGACCAAAATTTTCTTGATTACTAAACAGGTCAAAAGTTTTTTTAGCAGGTCTATAATTAATTCAAACTTGCATGGATATTGATCTTGGGATGTACCCTTACTAGAAAAAAAATATGATGTGAAATTTGCCTTACATGTAGATAACATTCGTCGAGGTGAGCTTCGTAATCTTTGATTACCTATGTTTTTAATCACTTGAGATCTGTACAGGGCTTTCAAATTCCTAATGATGCCTTGATCGCATGGTTGAATTATGGATGTTGTGTTTGCTGGCAGGAACTCTAGTCTGATGTTGGTAAGTCGGTCGGCAGCGTCTTTAGGGTGAGCTGAGCAGTTATCCACAAGTAGGAGAATTTTTCGGTTCTGACGAACCATGTCTCTGTTGAAGTCTGCGAGCCACTGTTTGAACAAATCACCAGTCATCCAGGCATTTCCGGAACTCTTGTAGATCACGGGTATACTTTTCTTCCCACGGAAACATCTTGGGTCTTTACTTTTCCCGATTACCAGCAGCCGACGCTTGTCTGTTCCGGTCATGTTCACTGTCACTAGCACTGTCACTCTGTCCTTTGCCTTTTTTGAACCAGCCAATTTATCTTTCTTGAACGTCAATGTTCCATCAGGGAGAGCTCTGTAGTAAAGTCCCGTTTCGTCGGCGTTATAGATGTTCTGTGGCTCGTAATCTTTCATAAGCTGTGGTAGAACATCTGTGATCCAGTGGTCGGCTGCATCTGTGTTAGCGTCTTTCTTCTCTCCATGCATTTTCTTATAACTTATGTTGTTTCTTTGCTTCCAGCGGGACAACCAGCCATTTGATGCGGTGAATTCGATGTTCATTCGTGCTGCCAAGTCTTCTGCCTTTTCTGTTAGCACTGCACTGGAGACAGGGAGATCTTTGCTGCGGGCCTTTGTAAACCATTCTGTAAGGGCCCCCTCGACTGTCGGTGCCTTCCCAGATCTGTGCCTTTTTCTTTCTGGATTAGCGCTAGTTTCGTAATCTTTTCGTATTGTGTCTCTATTTTTTGAGATAGCGCTAATCTGAGGTTGTGAACAACCTAACTTCTTGGCAATTTCTGTTTGGGGGACTTTTTGGTCAAGGAGTTTAACCGCTTCATACTTGTCTGCCAAGGAGAGATCTGTCCTTTTCCTCTTCAGAGCCATATTGAGAATAATGAATAAAATTTTTCAGACGTATATTTATATGGGGTGCTTGTGATTTTAACCCTGAAATTTGCACTTAAAAGTGAACACATATTCAGATAAATGACCAAGCGAAATGATTTAATAGATAGTCTTATTATGGTGCATTTTAATGTCCAAGCGAAGTGTCATACACACGCTGAACAGTTCAATAATTAAAATTTCACGCCGAACTAAATTGCACACAAGCCAATTATCAAAATTAGCAAGTGCAGCACTGAATCCCAAGCTGATCATCACAATTGTAATCAAAACTTATCGATCTACCGTGCCCATTGTTAACACAGGTAAGATTCCTGTGTGCGTTCAGCCGTGACTAATCCCCTATTGTCGTTCTCCTGGTTAAAGGTGTCAGACTGAATAAACAAAGGGTTTACACACCGAAGTTACAGGTGTGAACAAGTCATTGATTATGAAAATCATTATGACTGGCGAAATTTTTGTATCAGATAAAACGAAAATCCAATATTTTCTCATCAGAATATCAGGTGAAATTATTAATAAATATATAAGAAATGGTTTTGTGCTCTGTTATTATATTGATATAGCCGAAATATTCGTTTAACCGCTATCCGATAAACTGGAAGCCACTGTATTTATCAACAGTAGACATAACTAGTCATGCCGACTTAGCATTTGCAGATATTCCCCGAGAACCGCTTATTAATTAACTGCAATAAAAGTGAGGTGTAAACCAACGTATTGTTGGCCAGGTATTCTTTGCCATTGCTGTCCCAAAATCGCCCTTTCATATCACTCAGCACATGGATAAGATGTGTTCAATCATTTTGAAATGAAAACAATACATATATCTTTCTTCATTAAATGAAACTGTGCATACTGAGCAAAATTAATGTGTAATTTATGCGGAATGCACATCAAAATGAATCACTGTACTGTATAACTGTGAATATTCATTAAGGAATACCTCATTTAAGTTTTAGTTTACATAAGTTTATGAATATTCGTTAAGGGATACTGGCGTGCAGCTCAGGCCAACAAGGAACTGAAACAGCTGGGAACAGCACTGGATGCTTCTATAGGGGGATATAACGTGGCTCTCTCACAGGGGCAGGAGGAGGAAGTGATCAGTTTCCTAGCAGAAATTGTCACCATTATTGTGTCCCTCAGATGTAAGTTGTTCTGAGTCAAAGGTTGCATTAGATTTAAGTCCAAATAGAAATTAATAAGTAATTGAACATTTTTGTCATCATTTAGTCCTTTTCTGTACCCCTCCCCTTTCGCAAAAATGCTGGGACATTAAATCTCATTTGTTTGTGTCTATGGGTCTGTCACAAAAACTTTTAATCTTTGTCATAACTTTTAATTGAGAGAAGATACAGGCTTTCATATTTATACAGTTTGACTAAAAAAAATATTATGTAATTATTAATAAGTGCTTAAAATTTAGATGACCCAAATCATGTGTTAGAAGCTGCTGAGATTCACCCAGGATCCATTCAAAACCAAAGAAAGCTTCTTCAGCGCTTGGCCAATAATAATTGCTGGGAGGGGATAAGTTTGTTGGTGCTGGGGGTCCATGCAGGGCCCCCCAGTTCTCTGGATGCTGCTGCTGCCAGTTGCCCTGTAGATAACCTATCGGTAGGAACACTGCTGAAGACCACGCCCACTTCTGACCTCAAAAGATTTGGTGTAGAACTAGCGATATGTCTTCTGAAGAGTGGGGCATCATATGAGGATATAGAACAGAAGATGGGAAAACCAGTTATTCATGTTGGTCTAACAGTTGCATTAGATACAGGTTGATATAGATGTTTTTCATTTTTTCCCATTTAACTGCCTATCATACAATTTTTAAAAAAAAATTTGTCTGCTTGTTTGATAATTTTTAAGGTAAAGAAGGACCTTGAGCTGAAAAAAATCTCATCGTTAATTTTTTAAAATATTTTGTAAAACTTGTTTATAGGGAACTCACTAATGAGGAAATCTCATTCATAAGAAAATTTTTCCAAATCCTGTAGTAGACTTTTCACAATGTGTTCTTTATGGATATGAAGAATGAAGTAAAATATGAGGCCCCCGTTACTTAACTTCTTTATAACCAGGTTTTACTGTATTACTAATTATATATGTTCCACATATCCTAAAGCAGAGATTTCATCAGGTTTTTGAATTCCTTGTTAGATCCGCAGTGTAGAGAAACAGAGAAGTGGATCAATCTATTTCATGATCTGTTAATGTTCACATGAACCTTAAATTTTTTATAATTATACCCCCCGCAAACGAAGTTTAGGGGGGTATATTGGAATCAGCATGTCCGTCCGTCTGTCTGTAGACGAGATTTTGTCCGGACCATTTCTTGGAAACTGTTGCAAGGATTTGTCTGAAAATTTGTACACTTATTATTCGCCATATGAAGGTGTGCACCTGGTATTTTCATCATGATTGGTTAATTTTTTGGCATTTTACAGGTGTTTTTTTCATTTTTATTATGTGGTTTTGTCTGGATCTGTTCCCAGAGACTACTGCATAGATTTGTATGAAAATTTGTACACTTATTATTTACCATATGAAGATGTGCACCTGGTATTTTCAACATTATTTCATAATTTTTCTGCATTTTACAGATGTTTTTTTTTTTTCATTTTTATTGACTTAGTCATTTCGGGTTCATGTCTAAGGTTATGAGACATAGAATCTAGAACATCTGTACAAAAATGTGAACTAGAGCTTAAAACTACTCATTAGAACTAAAAACAAAATCACAAAGTATTAATAACAGTTTTTACATTACACAGCAGATAGTGTAAATCCATTTGTCCCTTGGGAGTAATGAGTGGACATGCATCCAGTTAAAGATTAATTAATGAGTTCAGTGTGGGAAGCTGTTAGGGCATCTCTGATCAAGCAGGTCTTATCTATATCTCCTGGGAATTGGGCAGAAAGAAAAAAAGATCCCTGTTGTCTAAGTCTCTTAATTGTAATTTATGTCTGTCAAAATACATAGTTACTGGAACCAGCCTTTTATTTTTAAAATGAGTTTGATATAAAGGTGTTAAGATCAATTTGATTTTGTATAATTAATTATGATATTTTTTTTTCAACAATCAATTTGCAGAGTGTCATGTCTCACAAAGATGACAGGTAGTTGCAGACTATTTACAATGTAATAAAAAACACTGTAATTATTAGTATGGATGTTTTATCAGGCTGCACCTTAGTTTCATTCAAAAAAAAATATAATGAGTAATTAAATTTTCACTCTAAATGTTTAAGCAAGTTGTGAACACCTCTCACATCTAGAAAACATTAGTGATTTGGTACCTTCTCTGAAAAACCCAGCGGGGGGTATTTGTCCCTTTTGGACAGTTCTAGTTTTAATAAAAATCTTCATTAAAATCATAAAATAAATTATATTGTTGAACATTTACACAAGTATTGATGATTTAAATAATGTTTTGTACCTACATCACTAGAGACTCTGACATAGTTAAACCGAGTCCTGTGACCATGTGTCCTTCTTCCCTTTAAAACAAATTTTTAAAAAAAAAGAAATCTTCATTATGTTTGAACTGTGTATTTTATGTTCATACAATAATTAACATGTTCCATCCAGGCAATATTCACCTGATAAAACTGATGTTCAGTCAGTATTTGAAAACACCAGAAGAAAAAGATGCTGTCGATGATAAGAAGAAAACAGCTTACCATATACTAGTGCATTCTGGGAAAATCAATGGTTCGCTTGGAGAAACTCTGCTTCGGCTTCTGATGAACAATGGATGTCGTCCATCCATCCCTGATGCTGATGGCAAACTACCCATAGACTACCTCACACCAACAGATATGGGGTATAGTCTTCTGTCAAACATCACAAATGTAGCAGGTAATTTACATGAAATAAGCTCTGTTTTAGGTTTTTAGTTGCTACAGGACTTAGTCTTTAGGTGAAGATCTCGTAAATGAGTTTAGTTTGTCTTATAAGTGCTAGATCCATTATGACACCATAATTACTAGTATATTGAACTTAATTTTTCCCATACTTTTTGGCTATAATTGAGATATGTAGAAAATGAAGCAGCATGTTCATGGAATTCATTTTGAAATCATGTCAAAGTAATCCCATTATTTATATTCAATTAAATATTATTTTAAAGAAGAGGCCAAGAACATTATAATTACTATTTTCTGAGAGATTGTTGGCAATCTGGATACTTTTCTTTGTGTAATATGTAAAAAAAAAAAAAAAAAAAAAATCCCTTATTTGTTCCCTGCTTTCACTGAAATTCGGGGATATAAGTTTGGTCTGTCCATTTGTGTGTTTGTGTGTTAAACTTTCATTTCCAGACAATATCTCAAAAAGCCCTTGAACTTTTGCAATGAAATTTTATACCACAACTCCCTTTGGCCCAAAGAAGACCCCTGTTGATTTTGAGGTCCAAAGGTCAAGGTCAGAAATTCATATATTCTGTCTTTGTGGAACAGTTTTGTTTCAAGACAATTTCTCAAAAATCTTTTGAGCTTTTGCAGTGAGTTTTATATCACAACTACCTATGGCTGAAAGAAGACCCCTATTGATTTTGAGGTCAATAGGTAAAGGTCAGAAATTCGTACATTTAAAAAAATGGTTTCCAGATGATAACTTTATTTTTCTTTGAGCTTTTTCAATGAAATTTTATATCATAACTCTCAATGTCATATGAAAGACCCCTATTATTTTGAGGTCAAAGGTGGGGTCAGAAATTCATACATTCTTTCTGTAACACTTGTTCATGACAATATCTCAAAAAACATTTTAGCTTTTGCAATGAAATTTTATTATTACAACTCCCTATGGCCTTTAAAAAAATGCCTATTGATTTTGAGGTCAAAAGGTGTCAAAGTCAGAAATTTATCAGTAGGTTGAAATTTAAGGATCATGTCCATTACCAAAAAAACTATGAGGCTTATATAGACCAAACTTGCAAGTGTTATGTGTATTACCTTCTTTGTTATGAATGCTACATTTGACATATTTTTAGCTCACCTCCACGAAGTTGGGGGAGCTTATGTGATACCCTCCAGAGATAGACATTAACTTTCATATTCACTTGCCTTTTGGGCAAGTGATCTCAAACTTTGACTTGTCCGAATGCAAAACTTGGTTGCCCAAAACTAGGAAAGAAGAAAATTATGCTAAGAAAAAAATGTGATCAAAAAACACTTATAATATGCGTTTGTAATTAAATGTATACTACTGTCCTTGTCAATTTAACCTCTTAACACACACTGCCATGCAGCAATAATCCTTAATTCTTAAAAATTATTTTCGGTAGGATCTTTTTGTGAATTGTTATTTTCAGAGATATCTGTGAAGCAACGCTAAAAGAAGATAGTTGCTACGAAACGTATATTTGATCAGGATATATCATATGTTACTTATTTGTAAGTGAATAAATAATCTAAATAAGTACGAAGTAGGTAACAAAGTTGTTGGAGGTTCTAGCGTATTTTACCACGAAAGAAAACAGAAAACTGAACCCGATTTTTAAATGAACGGTATAATCTAGAAACGCTATCAAGGAATTCCAAATGATGTCAGGTACCTGGCGGAAATCAAATGTTCAATTTATTGTCTATTTACAAATTAATGAAAACTAAATGATATATACATTTGTATGAAAAAAAAAATCACTTGCCCGATCGGACAGGTACTTCGACAGTTTCACTTGCCCGAACTGAGAATTTACTTGTCCCAGGCAATCGGACAACCGTTAACGTCGATCCCTGCCCTCGATGTTGATGTTGGCGTCTTAGGTTAAAGTTTCTGGAGCAGTTGTCTTTTTAAGTACTTTTTTGCCCTACATTAATCGTAAATGCATGGAAGGTGCTTCTAGTGTGTTTCATTGTACCAAACAGGTTTCAGATGCTGCAATTTCAGCTAAGGAATGACCAGGTTAATGTTTTTAGAGCAGGTTAATGTTTTTGGAGCAGATCTCATTTCCAATTGACTATAAGCCCTATGTTGACCAAACTTGCATGGATGATGCATCTTAGGATGCACACTACCAGGCTTTCCTAGGATGCTGGATCTGACCATCATTTTCCAGATGAGTGACTAGATTTAAGTTTTTGGAGCAGGTTCATTCTAAAGTAACTAGAAGTCCCATGTTGACCAAACTTGCATGGATGATACACCTAAGGATGCACACTACTGGACTTACTTCGGATGCTGGATTTGACTTACACTTTGCAAATAGTGACCAGGTTGAAGTTTTTGGCACAGGTCCATTACCAAGAAACTGTGAGGCCTATCTAAACCAAACTTGCATGGATGATGCATCAAGGGATGAACACTCTTAGCTTTGCTTCAGATGCTGGATTTGAATTTCATTTTATGGATGACTTACTAGTTTGAAGTTTTTGGATAAGTCCATTCCCAAGTAACTGCAAGCTCTCTCAGATCAAAATCGCACAAATGTTGCACCTTGGGATGTACACTACTAGATTATTAGTTTAGTGTGGGACTTTGCCTTACTTAAAGACAACATCCGTTGAGGTGAGCTCTGTAATCTCTGATTACCTATGTTTTAAACAAGGAGTTTGATAAAAGTTTTTAGTGAAGGTCTTTTTTTCAAATAACCATTTTTTCAAGCATCAAGATTGCATAAATCTTAAGATGCATATTGGAGTCTGTATATCAGTCTTCATGTGATAAAGTCATAGTATGACAGGCAGTGCTGCCACTTTTGAGTAGGTTGGGGAAAGGGGGGGGGGGTCATGGCTCTAGTTATTTCAAATGAAACATTTTCAGTGAACTTAAGTTTGTTTTAAGATGTGGAGCTAAAGCAGTCTATAATTACAATGAAGATGAATTTAGCTAATGATCATAACTAAAAGTTCATTTATTATGAAAATTATTTAACTTAATAAAAATAAGGTATTATCAAAGTGGGCATTGTAGTTTGACTACCTCCTATTTTTGCCCCCCCCCCCCCCAACCAACCAAAAAAAATCCATTTGATAGTACATATTTTATAAGAAAGTAAATTTCTACATTCAAGGAAACCATGTGAAAGTCAAAATTCTGCATTTAAAAGAGCAAGGAAACGCAGCGTTTAAGAACAAGGAATTGGAGGAAGCCATTTTTTTCTATAGCCGAGCAATAACAATGGCCAAAGATTATGAAAATTTGACTCGTGAGACAGTCACCTTGCTGACAAACAGAGCAGCTGTTCACTTGGCCTTACACAGTATAACGGAGGCATTAGAAGATGCAGAGGAGGCCGTGAAATGTGATCCCTCCTGGCTAAAGGTTTAGTGTCAAGTTTTTGTCATTTTGCTTGTAACTGATAGTATTTATATGTAGTTTCTTTCATGTAACTGATGTGTTATCACTTAATTATGGCAGTATAAAAGTTATGAGTTTTCTGTAAGTTTAGTATTCCAGGTAACAAAAGTATCAAAATGAAAAATGTATTGATATCAAACATATTTTGAAATTCATAAAAGGCCTATTAATTGTTTTAAACATTCAAAACATTTTACACTTAAATCTTTATACATATATATATGCTAGATACTTTTAAACATTATTGTTATTAAGGTTTGCATGCCTTTGATTTTAATAATAAAGCTTTAAAAGACTTCTGACTAATTTATTTCTCAGAAATCATGAACTCTTTGTGATTTCCTAGAAATACATGTAAAAGAGTTTTCCTATTTTTGCATCTAGAGAAAACAAAGTTGTGTTTAGCTATTTAGTTTAGATGCATGTAGGTATATTAATTTGTGTTTAGTTATTGGGTTTTAGGTGCATGTACTTGATATTAACATGTTGAATGTTTTGGTAAGCAGGATTGAGAATATTTCATACATTTGTTGATGCAGGGACACTGGAGGCGTGGTCAAATTTTAAGTCAATTAAAGAAGCACAGGGAAGCTTATAGCGCCTTCCTAGAGGGGTACCGCAAAGGAGAGGGCACTGCTGCAGAAAAACGTAACATTCTGGTAGAGGCCGTCACAGCATTCCAGCACATCAAAGGTATTTCATTATCTTTTATATTATGGTATATTGAGTGGCAATAATGAATATAAGGGCATACCTTTTTTTAAGGCTCAGATGAGCTTTTTTTTTTTTTTCAAAATTAGCTCACTGTCAAATAAACAAATACTTTCAATATTTCAATAGTAGTAGGGCCTTAGTAAATCATCACGAACATTTTCGAATTCCTAAGGTTCAAGTTAATTTAAATTATGAATCTTAGGGTTAGATTATAATCGAGAATCAATTTTACATTTAATGCATGTACATGTAAATGGGAAAGAAAAATTAAAAAATCATTCAAAAATCTCCAACAAAACTGCAAGCCCATGTTAGGCATATTGGTAATTATGCATCCCCATATATGGCTTCAAATATGGTTATGTTGTGACTCCTTGGGACTAGGATGAGGCCACAATATAGAGCGATTAATTAAGAGGGGGGAATACTTTTCAAAATCTAAAGGAGAGCAGGCTTGGGGGTTGTAAAACTTGGACGAGCTCACTTGCTCTCATTCTCACTTTTCTACCATTAATTCTTTTTGTAAAAGTGAGACAGAGATCAATAGTTAGCCGAGTTTATGGCCCTGGAGCCAGGGCCAAAGAAGATTCAGGTGAGCACCCCATGGGCCTCTTGTAAATAAGCTCATAGATATCTAACTTTTTTCAGGACAGCAGGATCTGGAAACCAGTTACAAGGGCCTTAGTAAGGTAACCAATGATGTATGGGCAGATGTTCTGACCAGACTCAGTGTTAGAGGAGAGTGGGAAGCCATTAGATTCCTGGTTCTGGGGATCAACTTCATGTTTGGTGGTGGTAGGTACATTCAATGATAAAAAAAACTCATTAATGAACTTTCCTTTCAATGGCAATCTTAAATGTGTTGAATTCTTGTTCTGTTTGTTATGTTTAGCATAAACTTTTTTAAAGCTTCTTTTGAACTTTAAATACCTGGTCACAAAGTCTAGTACATATGTTTCTTCAGTAGTATCAAATTTTTAGCTCACTAAACCCAAAGGCTAAATTGAGCTTATCTGATCAAAGAGTGCCTAGCATCCATCTGTCAGTCGTTTGTGTCCTCTATATACTTTTCACATTTTGAACTTTTCCAGAGCCATGCACTAAGCTAATTTTAATGAAACTTTCCCAAATGCATCCTGGGATAAAGGGAATTCAAATGAGAAGGCACATCCTCTTTTGAAGGGAGATTATTGAGAATTATAGATATAGTGAAATCAAATGTAAATTATGAACCACAGGACAGGGTTTAGAAGAGAACAAACATATGTTAAAGCTTTCTAAATTTGTGTCTGTTCAAATAATCCCATACCATCCAGGTTTTTTTTGTGTGTACAATATAGGGGTTTAAAATTATATGTATATGAAAATACAAAGGAAAAATCTCTTAAGAATTTTCTTCTCAATAACAGCAGGCCCACAACTAGTTCTAGTACTATGCAAGCATTCCCAGTTAATGCAGATTCAAAACTGTACCAATCATACCCCTGTGGGACAAGGATGGGGCCCAATAGGGGATTGGATATTCATGTGGAATGCTTAGATTATTTAAAAGATAATTTCAAGGGGGAAAAAAGGGCGGGGATTTCTGAAGCCTATTTTAGTGATGGAGATTTACATTAGAATATAGGGGGAAAATGATAAAAAGAAGTTTTTGAAAAATTTTATGTTTGTTCATTTAGCAGTATTTTATAAAATGACACCATTTTCTATATATAAAATAGGACAAGGAGGCTGCCCACAAATTTACATAGAGAATTGAGACTTTGTCTTACTTGAAAATTATTTTATTGCTTTAAGGGCAAGTAATGGCCATGGGTTTTGCCAGAGATGCTGATATGCAGGGTATCACATATAAAACCCTCTTCCCATTCCTTGAGAGACAGGAAGATCCAGCCTCTGTGAATTTCTGGATAACTCCTCTTGTGCTCTTCCTCATTACACACAGAGGAAACCTGGACAGTTTACTGAGGTTCCGAGAATCAGATGAGGACACACCCCTCCACGCTGCTACCAGATTCTGTGTCCTCACAGGTAATCTTTTTCTTCAATTTTTTTTCGTATCTAATTGATGAAAATGTTGCATATTGACTGAAATATCAAGTATTTTTGTAATTTACAATCTTTTGGTTTCCTTAATTTTCGAGGAGATAAAAAAAATTTTGCTTTTGGCAAAAAATACAAATGTAAATTTATGGACAGCTACCTTGTCAAATTCCAAAATGAGTAAGAAAATTCCCTTCATATTGTAAAGATCAACCACAAAAACAGATTTTCACCATGAAAATATGAAACAGCTGTATATAATTTCAAAACTTATTTACACAATAAAATTAGAAATGCATACCAGCAATATTTGTATAAAAATTAACTTTTCATTTGGTTTTTTGATATATCATTCTTTCCTAGGAGACACGGTTATACTTAAAAGCATGCCAAACAATCCTCAGATGATAACAGTTGTAAATGGTAAGGGGGATTCACCATTCCACACCCTCCTGAAGATGTCTCCTGCCCCCCAGGGAAAGATCCTTACCTCTCTTGTCAAGCTTCTTCTACAGAAGGGAGTGTCCCCTGTTGAGCGGGATAGAGACCAGCTTCTGCCTATTGACTATGTGGATCCAAGCAAAAACAAAGGGGTGTATGACATACTCCTAAAATATGCCAAACGTAAGTCACACTTAATAATTTGGTTTGGTAGGAATAGGGGAAGATATGCAAGTTGTTCCATTGAATTTTAGTTTATTCTTTTGGATTTATGTAAATGATCTTTTACTTATCAAAACCTCGATCAATTTCCTGTTATCCACATGAAATATACATGTATCTGCTTTGATATCAAAACACTTTTCAATCAAATGAGAAATGGTAGCTAATGGTCAGCCAGTCATGCTACCTGGAAATCTGAGATTGCATGTGTTTTGATAATGATAACCTGTCTATACAGCAAGCTCTTGCATGTAATGTAAAACTTTTTACGGAGAAAAAACGTATACACAATAGATATAACAATACTCTGTATGTTTATCTTTTTTTTTATACCCCCCGCAAACGAAGTTTGGGAGGGTATATAGGAATCACCTTGTCCATCTGTCCATCCGTCCATCGTCTGTCTGTGCAAACGTGTCCGGTCAATATCTTTTTTACAGAGGAACATTAGAATCTATTACTTCACTCAAAGACTGTTGATGACCTGAGGGTGTGTCGTGACCTTGACCAAAGGTCATTTGGGCAAGGTCAAGGTCACTGAAAGAAAAAGTTAATAATTCATGTCCGGTCCATATCTTTCTTAAGGATAAACTTGGTGAGTTCCCATTTTACACAAAGATTGCGTATGACGTGAGGGTGTGTCATGACCTTGACATAAGGTCATTTGGGCAAGTTCAAGGTCACTGAAAGAAAAAGTTCATAATTCGTGTCCAGTCCATATCTTTCTTAAGGATAAACTTTGTGCGTTTCCATTTTACATAAAGATTTCTTATGACCTGAGGGTGTGTCATGACCTTTACCCAAGGTCATTTTGGGCAAGTTCAAGGTCACTGACAGAAAAAGTTCATAATTCATGTCCAGTCTGTATCTTTCTTATGGAGAATAATGTTGGGATGTTGGGAGTTTCCGTTTCACACAAAGATTGCTTATGACCTGAGGGTGTGTCATGATGTTGACCATAGTCACTGTAGAAAAAATTGATAAATAATGCATCCATACTTTCCAATAGGTAAATACTTGAAAAATTATTATTTATTTTTTCAATGTAATAAAAAAAAAAATGATATTATAAGTATTGATGTTTTATTAGGCTGCACCTTAGTTTTATTCATTAAAGGTATAAAATGAGCAATTACGAGTAAATTTTCAATCTAAATGTTTAAACAAATTGAGAACACCTCTTAGATCCATCAAATACTAGTATTAGTGACTTGGCACCTTCTCTGAAAAACCCTGCGGGGGGTATTTCAGAGAAGGACAGTTCTAGTTTCTCTTGTCACTGTTTAATAGTTATATTATATACATGTACATAAGATATGAATATTAAACATTTATAGCTACAGAAAATGTCAAATCAAAAAAGCCACCAGAAAACCCACAGAAATCAACAGAAAAAGCAAAACCTGTAAAGCCCACAACAAGTGAACAGCAGGTGCCACAAACATCTGCAACAAGCAAAGATAATCTGGTGGTTAAAGATCTAAAATCGCAGGCAAATGAACTGTACAAGCAAGGCTGCATTGAGGAGGCATTAGAGATGTATTGTGATTTGTTGGATTACATCTCAGAAGAGTGCGAACATGAGGTAGAAAACCATGAGAAAGCTGTGCTCTATGGTAACAAAGCAGAATGTTTGTTAAAAATGGGTCAATTTGAGGAAGCATTAGAGGCTGCAGTGGAAAGTGTGGGCTTTGATGGACATTGGTTTAAGGTAATATTTAGGAAAATAAAGAGCTAGGTTCACTTTATGCACAAAATGGCCCTGTAGATATACCAATTTATTGACTAATACCCTGTGTACCATTTTCAACATTAATATAAAGTAGAGACTTAGTGCTTTCAGTTTATGTAACAGAATTTCCTTTGAAGAGTCCAAGCATTGAAAAACAGGTTGTGTGAAATTGCAGTGTTATTGAATTTTGCAGAAAACAGGTGTATTTGAGGCCTAGAACCTTCAGCAAAGAATTAAAATATGAGCACACTCCTCGATCCAAAAATTAAAATATATTTTATAATCTTCAGTATCAGTTCTTTTATAATATATTTACCAGACATGGGCACGATTACTGAAAAATGTAATCGATTAATAATCGATTACTTAAAGGAATTCTGTGTAATCGATTATTAATCGATTAAACTTATTTTTGTCCTGTAATCGATTGTAAGCGATTACTTTGGAAGATGTAATCAATTAATAATCGATTACTTCTAAGTTTTTATCCCTTCAAATATCAAAGCAACATTTAAATGATTTTGTTTTGAACATATTTTATTGTATAATTAACACAAGGGATTGGCTATAAGTTCTAACAACTAAATATACAATACTTATAATCATAATGATTGTCCAACAAATTTAAATGTTTAATGGTAATATTGATGATATCAACTGAAGTTTGAATGTGTTCCTGCAGTTTCAGTGCAGGTTCTTTTAAGGTTTTATTCTGGTTTAATTTCATATTTTAGACCTAACATTCTCACTAAATGCCCAAATGCGGGATTTTCTACCATGGAAAGTGGAGACATGGTTCCTACAACAAAATATGCCAAGGAATTAATTATTCCTTTCAACCTTGGATTTGAACCTCCATATTTATTGATTTTTGTTGCAGAAATTATTAAATATTTTATTATGAATTAAAAGTATTTGGACTGCCCGCATGTTGGCAGTACACATAAAACATTCCTGTGTCTTTTTTTTTTTTTTAAAAAAGTAAATTAGAACTCTTAGTATTAAACATGTAAATCAAATGTGCCTTTAGGTAAAACCAATAGCACAATTTCATTCTGTATTGAAATAAGTGTTTTAAGAGCTATTAATTGCTTTAATAATATTGTTTGTCTTCAATGGAAGTATCAATTATTAAATATGTTTGTCTTCAATGGAAGTATCAATTATAAAAGTTAAACACTAGATAGTTCACAGTTTACACCTCATTATCTGCAAGTCAGGGATGTCTCAGTCAATTAATTAGCCAAGATAAGCAAACACAGTGACACTAACCTCCTCTCTTAAAAATACAGACACATATAACCTCACTAACAAAAAAAAAGCAACCTTACAATTTTGAATGAAAACATATCATTAGAATGATTTTGCATATTTTTAAGTTACTTACTAAAACATTGTTTAAACATTTTCAGAAATGAATAAGTATTTCCATCTTCTTCTTTTTTAAAGTACAATGTAGTTTATATACTAAATTATTTATATTTAACACAGCATTTTAAATCTGTTTTTGCTATTTATAATTTTCTTATACAAGACAAAGTTTTTCAAAATATGAAATATGAAAATAAATATTATTTACACATTTTGCACAGAGGTTGTGCTGTATACAAAATATTGAAAAATGGCATCATATTTTGGCCAGTTTTGAAGAAAAATTCAGGATATGTGAATAATGACGCAATTCATGACGTCATAATGCATTGACTAGAAAGAAAATTACATTATTTTCAGTAGATATTCATTCACCAAGTGCTCAAGTATTATTTATTGCCTTGTTGACTAAAACTATACAGTTTTGAATTTTCAGAAATTCACAGGGCCAAAAAAGGCCCTAAGTGGCTCTTGCTCTTTGTTTGATATACTCTTAATAAACTTTGATTTTTGCCTTTGGATAATCTGATGTTTTCCTTACAGTATCCAATTTGTATGTACTGATTTCTTCTGTCCCATTTGTCAAAACTATATTGTTTAAATTAACTTTACCACTGTGTCATTTTGGGACTTTTTGCAAAAGTGCAGAAAATATATAGGGTTTTTTTTTTTTTGGTTTTTTGGGTTTTTTTTTTTTTTTGGACACTCATTTTAGCCAATGAATTTTTCCTGGGGAAAGTATTTTTCATCCTTATGAAATCTTTGCCATAATTAATGCTTTAAATTTTGTTGTTTATGATAACAGTCACACCTGAGAGTTGGCAAAGCAAAAGCAGCACTAGGGGAGTTCAGTGTCGCCATTCAAGCTTTTGGTAATGCCTGTAATGAATTGGAGGAAACACCAGCAAATCTGGTCGTTCGAAGGGAGATTCTGGGAGAATTGACAAGAATTGCTCCTAAAGGTATCACTTTGATAAGTTCGGTTTTTGCTTGTCTTAAAGCATGGTAGGTTGTTCAAAGACTTTAGAACATTTTCAGATTCTTTTCTAAAATGACTGTCTGAAGTAGTTTTATTCAATTTTTAGCTCACCTTAGCTGAAGACTCAAGTGAGCTTTTCTGATCAAACTTTGTCCGTTGTCTGTCATTGTTGTCATTGTTGTGGTAAAGCAAATTTCAACCAAACTTGGCACAGAGGATCCTTGGGTAAAGGGAATTCAAGTTTGTTCAAGTGAAACGCCACTCCCTCTTCCAAGGGGAGATAATTAAGAAAGAGTAAAAATTTGATGGGGTCATTTAAAAATCTAATCAAGAACTACTGGGTCAGAAAAGATGAAACTTATGTGAAAGCTTCCTGATATAGTGTAGATTCAAGTTTGTTCAAATCATGAAAATATAGGAAACATCTTTAAAAATCTAAAGAACAGCAAAGCCGTGACTATATTTATATGAAAGCATCCTCAGGTAATGTTGATTCAATTTTTCAAATCATGGCCCCTGGGGTAGGGTGGGGCCACTGTTGCAACCACTATTGAAATAATTATTTCAATAGTGGTTGAGAGTGCATTTCAAAACTAAACACTGGTTGTAACCACTATTGAAATAACGTTCAATATTGAAATAATTATTTCAATAGTGGACGTTATTTCAATAGTGGTTACAAAATGCCTCTCAAAACCGAACACAGGTTGCAACCACTTTTGAAATACAATGTAACGTTCACTATTGAAACAATGATTTCAACAGAGGTTTTGAATGCTTTTTAAAGCTTTAACCAGGTTGCAACCACTATTGAAATAATTTTCACTTTTAAAATAAAGACTTGAATAGTGATGAAATAATGATTTCAATAGTGATTGAAATAATGATTTCAACAGTGATTGAAATAATTATTTTATGGCTGCTGACAATGATTTCAATACCAAAACCATATTGCAAGCCTTACTGAAATGTCCCCTCTAATGAAAGAAAAATATAAGGATGACTTGTTCATTACGTTTTCCAACATAATAAATTAATTTATTGAGTTTAAATTATGATGTGTAAATTAATGTTTTCCTTTCCTTTCTAAAAAGTACCATTAATATACGGACATCTATGATTTAACTGACGTACCTAAAATTCATACAAATGCAAATGTTTATAAGCAAGCTTCTGCTGAATCTGGCAGACTCGGCGAAAACCAACAGACAATCAATCAATATATGCAAGTTTTAGGTGATTTTGTTATATTTAAGGTTCATTTTGCCATTGATTTGGAAAGGAAAGGATCATAATTACTGATAGAGGTGAACATTATTTCAATAGTGGTTGCAACCTGGTTTCAGTTCTGAAAAGCATTCAAAACCTCTATTGAAATCATTGTTTCAATAGTGAACGTTATTTCATAAGTGATTGCAACCTGTATTTGGTTCTGAAATGCACCTTTAACCACTATTGAAATAATTATTTCAATAGTGAACGTTATTTCAATAGTGGTTACATCATGTGTTTGGATTTGAAATGCACTCTCAACCACTATTGAAATAATTATTTCAATAGTGAACGTTATTTCAATAGTGGTTACAACCAGTGTTTAGTTTTGAAATGCACTCTCAACCACTATTGAAATAATTATTTCAATAGTGGTCGTTATTTCAATAGTGGTTGCAACAGGCCACAATTGACATTAAAGTTACACATTGGAATATGTAGGAAACATCTTTAAAATCTTCTTCCCAAGAACAGCAAATCCATGATTAGTCATGTTAATTCACAGGCATCCTTAGGTAGTGTAGATTGAATTTTGTTCAAATCATGTTCCCAGGGGGTAAGTCAGGGCCACAATAGATGATCAATCACATTATTTTTAGGAAATCATGTAAAAAATCACATAAAAAATAATGTGATTGATCATCTATTGTGGCCCTGACTTACCCCCTGGGAACATGATTTGAACAAAATTCAATCTACACTACCTAAGGATGCCTGTGAATTAACATGACTAATCATGGATTTGCTGTTCTTGGGAAGAAGATTTTAAAGATGTTTCCTAAAATTTATAAAAAAATAATGTATAGCCATAATTAGTCAAAGAAATTTGGAAGCATCCTTAGTGTAGATTCAAGTGTGAACAAATTATCCCCCCCCCCTTTTTACCAGTTGTGGGGAATCACATATATTTAATCTTTTAAATACTGAACTGATTTCTGCATTTTCCTAGCCAGTGTGCTCAGGTGAGGGATGTGGCCCATGGGCCTCTTGTGATGTGTAGCATCTATGGATAAAGGAGAATAAAATTTTTTTAATTTGAAGGCCCAAGTCACCTTTGGACCTTACACAGCAGAGTTAGAATAATCAAAATTATTAAATATCTATGCTGAGTCCAAAGTTCCAGGACAAAAACTTTTCCCAACCACTAAGACACGGAAAATGAGTGACCACAGTTCTTTGAATTTGCTTGTTCCATTTACAATCCTTTGGGTTAAGATGTAGTTGTTATATTGTACATGTATATAGATTTATATAATTAGAATTAAATGTGATATTTTCCATCTTTTAGCTGGACAGATTCCATTGCTGGATTTAAAAGGCTGTGGAAAACAGGTTTGGGCCCTGACCTCGTACGACTTAATATGTAGTGAACAGTGGATATCGGCCAGATTTGCTTATTTACAACATTGCCAAAAGACAATCAGTATGGATTTATACCATGAGGTTAAGGTCAGTCTGCAGCCTTTGTGTGTCCTTGACAAGGTGGTTACAGAGCAGTGGGTGATGGATCTGATACTCTACTTAATACAAACAGGAAGTGACTACCATACATTGTCAGTTGAGAAATTTGACACTTACTTCCATGCTGCTGTTAGGATGTCCTTGGTGACTGGTAATTATGTAATTTTTTAGGCCACATGAGTCACTCAGATGACCACTTGCAAGCTGTTGTTTGTCTTCATGATTCATTTGTAAATGTTTGACTGAAATGATGGAAGCAATTTCATGAGATATAATGATTGTATCTGTGGGTGAAGGGAAACAAAAATCATGAATTCAGACTTAGACTTGGAACAACAAAAGATGATAATGAATAAAATTTTTGTCTGGGCCATAAATTTATATCAGATAGATAGCCTTATATATAGTGTTGTCAAATTGGACCATTTTTAGTAACTTGCTTAGTTTTCTGACTGAGTACCCAGTTACTCAGTCTAAGTAACTCAGATGATTTTTCATTAGATCTCTAGACATCTTTGCTTGTGGTATACACTGTATATACTGAATAGTGCCCATATTTTATGTAACATCAGTACAATTTTCATTTTTTAGTATTTTTAAACACAAATATACTACATATGAACGTTATGTACAACTACAAATATACAGAATGTCTTTTAAAAAATGTTCTTGAATAATTGTTTTAAAAAAATTCAACACATTGAAAACAGCCCAGTTAGGGTACACTATATCCTGTCAAACAAAAACACAATCTAATGAGACTGAACTTGTTTAATTGGCTGAGAAGCTGTTTGGGAGAATAGAAATGCGAGAATATTTTAAATCAACAAGATTTACCTTCTATAAGTGAGACGATTTGCTTTTTCTTTTAAAATATTTCTGTGCTTTTAATTTCTTGGTGGCATCCATCATTTAATCGTGTACAGGTGGCTAGCACAGGTTTAAATACCATATAAGCAGAATTTTTAGCAAGGATTTAATTTTGGGCATTTTTAGCAAGGGTTCCGAGATCGCTAGAATTGAATATCACTGAAAATTTATTTCGCATAGGTTGTTGAAGCTATCTCACTTGACATTATAAAATAGCTAAAATTATTTCTCACCAAAAATATTGACTAATAATGCCAAAATTGAATCCTTGTTAAAAATTCTGCTTATTTAGTATGTAAACCTTGACTTCAATTTTGGCCATTTGTATATACAGTTTAACATGTTTATAGGAAAGTGCCAAGGATAAACAATTTTGATTTAAGGAACTCCAATCCTCAGCAATGTTCGGTAACTCGCGTAACATCCGGAAAAAGTTTATTCGTATCATGAATTCCGGCATTTACAATTTTTGGAACTCTTCTTTCAAAAAAGAATTTAAAAAAAGTTGTCATAGCATGTAAACAAATGGAAATGGTTGGGAAATCGTATACGAGAAAGAAATAAGAAAGGTCGATTCAAGAAAGCCTCAGCTACTGCTACTAAAAGTATTAGTACGTGTACCGACGAAAACAACAACGATCCTGACTTCAGCGATGTCAACAATGAAGATCCACTGGTACAGGTAGATGAAAACGATGAAAATAAAGAGACATTTGACCTGTTTCAAGGCAGAAGAGTTGTTGAATTCTCTGTTCTGGTGGATCATTTGCAAAGAGGGTGCTATCTATGTCATGCATCTCTGGATCTTGTTGACTGTGAGAAAGAGAGACATTATGGACTAGCTAGCTTACTGTATGTAAGATGAAGGAAATGCAACGAACTGACGATCATTCCAACTGGTAAACAACACAGTATAGGTCAAAATGGCCAAGGTCCTTTTGATATCAACACCAAACTCGCTGTTGGTAAGTATTTTTATAAGAGATTAAACGTATGTGTATTTTGCAAATTATCTGTAAAATATATTTTCTAAGCTGGTCATAGCTACATATAGATACATGTAGTATACAAGAATTTCGTAACATACAACACTGTACAAGTACCAGCACTCCTTATATAATATAGAAAAGGAAAAGAGAATTTACCCTCAGCTCAGTGGTAGAGCATCAAAAATAGGATATAAAAGATATGCTTACATATGTACTACAATATATTTTTAGTACAATAGAGCAGTAAGTGCAATACAATAGAGCAATAAGCACATGCATGGCTTGAATACATGTATAATTTTTTTTCTTAGCTTTAACCTATGCTGGCATTGGAGAAGCTGTGGTTTCAAAGATTTTTTCGACGCTCAATATACCAATTCTAACTCCAAGAAATTTGAAGAAGAGAGAGTGAGAGACTGTCCCTGCTCTAGAGACACTGGCAAGAAATTCCTGTGATGAAGCCTTACAACTGGAGGCACATAAATCAAGGTTTATATTATTATATAGTAACACAGTTTTGAGTATTATTTCATTACATAATCGCAAGGCACAGATTTTGTGTTCATTCTTCCACATATAGAAAATAGAATGGACACAAAACATGTGCCTTGCGACAGTGAGTTCATTCAGGGGTATGTCAAACACCCTTTACTCATTTGATGCTTGAATGCAAGTAATATATAATATATATAAATAATATATAAATGCATTTATATAAGGTATGTAAAACATATGGACAATTTATTATTGGTAAAAGGGGAAAAAATTATCCTACAGAACTCTTGTTTACAATAAAAATTATAAATGTTTTATAAATTTCAAGTCAAATGTTGACACATGATATGAATTTATTTTCAGTGAAAGTGGATTGGTGCTTTCTTATGATGCTGGATGGCAAAAGCGAGGAAGTGGTAGAAACTACAATAGTCTCTCAGGTAATTATCTTGGCAATGCATGTAATATATTTTCAGTAAAAAAGGACATGACGTCTGAAAACTTCATTTGTAAAAATATGTCTAATTTTGAGTGTACATATTGAACTAAAAATATTCATTCTTTCAGTGACATATAACATTACATACTGATTGTTTTTATAAGTGTTTTACATAATTCTTAGGACATGCATCAATGTTTGGCAGCAAAACTGGCAAATTAGTAGGGTATGGTGTCATGTCCAAAACATGCCGGACCTGTGATTCCAACAAAAGGAGAACCTGTGAAAAAGATCATGACTGCAGGAAGAATTGGTCTGGAAGTTCAAAGTCAATGGAACCAGCAATGGCAGCCAACATTATAAGAAATATTGAAAGTAAGGGACATAAATTCAGAACTTTGGTTATGGATGATGACACTAGTACTATTTGCAAAATAGGGTCAGAAGTAAATTCAGAGATAGAGAAGTGCAGTGATAAGAACCACACTTTCAAGAACTTCACAAACCATCTGTTTACACTACAGAAAGAAAAATACAAGAGAATCCTGAGTACCAAAGTTATAAACCCTATAAAGAAATCTTTTTCATATGCTGTTTCATCCAACAGAGAAGATCCACAGTCGCTTCGATCTAACTTGATTGCCATACCTCACCATTTATTTGGTGATCATTCTCAGTGCAATTACACATGGTGTCGTTATCTGCAGAACAGAGATTCATATGTTCCTAGGAATCTACCCTATGGGAAATACCTCTCGGATAAAGAACTCCACCATGATCTTGTGAAATTATTCACATTGTATGCAGAACAATCTGACAAACTTTCTTCATTGGAGAGCACACAAAACAATGAGAGCTTCAATCAAATTGTTGCAAGAAAAAATCCAAAGAACAACTTCTAGTCTGGTTCAAAGAGTACCAGTAGCAGAGTTGCTGCAGCTACCTGTGAAAAAAATATAGGACCACATTAAGTGACTCAGGTATTCTTTCTTTTTTAGAACTACCTGGAATACATATACATATATGTTTTGTGCACCTATCTTTATGGTATTTATTTCCTGTTATTTTATAGATAAATGATGAATTGAGTTTGTCGCCTGGGTCCTTCACAGTGAAACATGCTGACCGAAAAATGCGGAAAAGGCACAGCAATGCGGAGAAGTACTGTACTAAGGAGTTCAAGAGAAGGAGAGTACAACTGAAGAAATCTGCCTCTAATGCTGCATCTTCATCAGAGACAAGAGAAGGGGTGACATACAGAAGTGGTGTGCTTTCTACTACCAGTAGTATTCCAGATAGTGACATGGAAACCATACCACCACCTCCACAACATCTGCAACAAAATCCACTACCTCCCTGTCAATACAGCAGGGTTTATTTTGATCTGGAAACGACAGGTCTAGGTGTGTGGAAAATATCACATACTTTTGTAAAGATTTGTCACATATTTTTTTTCTGAAATGCCCATGGTATCACCTTATATCACATGTATGTACACACAATTTTTCAGGATTATCAGCTGACATCGTTCAACTGGCAGCAAGGTGTGGAGAGACTGAATTCAACCAGTATGTTCTTCCAACAGTCAACATCAATCCAATGGCATCAAAGATCACAGGACTGACTTATGATGGTACATTGCTGTACAAGAATGGTGCTGCTTTACCAGCTGTTTCTATAGAGATGTGCCTGTCATCATTCTTTGATTGGCTGAATACTTCTGGTTTGAAACATCCAGTGTTGTTTGCTCACAATGCCAGGAAGTTTGACAGCCTTATTTTTGGTAGATCTGTACTGGATAGTGGGAAAGAGGAACAAGGAAGAATTATTTGTGGGTTTTGTGACACCTTACCAATACTGAAAGAACATGCATCTGGATCCCATCTGAACTTTTCTTTGGAGACTCTGGTAAAGGATATTCTTGGGTGCTCTTTTAGTGCACATGATGCAGTTGAAGACTGTAGATACCTTCAGAAAGTTGTTGAGCATCATAATATTGACTCATTTTACCTTCAGTATAGTTTTACTCTGATGTACATTCTCGATATCATAAAGCAGATGGAAACTTCAAAAAAAAAATCTACAAACTCTTATGCCATTAGTTGAAAATCATATTATTTCTGAAAGCATGTGTAAGAAGATATCTTTTTCAGGACTAGCTATCAAACATCTTCAAATGGCACATCAAAGAACAGGCTATGATGGGATACGAAGCTTATTTACAGAGACTTTTCAGGGAAAGCCAAGAATAACTAAACGCTCATCTATTATTACTGCTGTGTCCAAAGTCATTAAAGAGAGATAACTCTTGATCCTGAAAATTTATGTCAATATGATTTCTCTCCTTAGCTTTTATACTTGACTGGATGCAATGCTATTTATTTTTATTTTTATGATTCTTTCATCCCAGTGGATATTATTTTATGCAGCAAACAAGTCAAAATACATTATATCAAATACAATCTGCTGAAACATAGATAATTCTTTTTGTTTTCTGTTATTTAATGTATATGAAATGATCAATTAATATCTCATAAGATCTCCTGGATACACTGGTAATTAATTATCAATTCTTTATCATAATAACAAGTACTGCAGAAAAGTTGAATAATAATGGTAAAAAATACATCTTCATTTTTTTGCACCTGAGGGACGGAGTACCTTAATGTAAATTTAATTTGTTCCATTTGATAAGTTTATAGTTTTAAGACAATAGGGAATGAAAATCATTTTGTTGATAGCGTAAATTTATTGAAAACCTGTTAGAGTAATCTTATTTTCAATGTAAATGTTTAGGTATCCTTGACCTCTTTGCATTCATTTTGGAGAAAGTAAAGGAGAATGGTGACCTAAATTTACAAGACAAGTATGGAAATACGGCTCTCCATGTGGCTGCAAAGGAAGAAGACACCAAACCACAAATTCGTCTTCAGGTCATTTATCTTTTGGTGGAGATGGACATCAATGTACTGAAGAAAAACAAAGCTGGGAAATATGCCGTTCAGTATGTACCAGGCAAGGAAATTCAGGCCATTACATTGCTTCATCAAAAGATGGCACAGCAAGAAGGTAAATTTAGCTCAAGTCTTAGTTCACCTGAGCTGAAGGGACTCAAGTGAGCATTTCACCTGAGCTGAAGGCTGAAGTGAGCATTTCTGATCAAAATTTGTCGTCATTGTAAACTTTTACCTGGACCAAACTTGCAAGGATGATGCATCTAGGGAAGGACACTACCACACTTGCCTGGGATGCTGAATCTAACCTAGATTTTCCAGATGAGTGACCAGGTTAAAGTTTTTGGAGCAGGTCCTTTCCCAAGTAACTATAAGCCCTACCTGGAATAAACTTGCTTCTTAACCTACACTACCACACTTGCTTCAGGTACTGGATCTAACCTTGATTTTCCAGATGAGTGACCAGGTTAAAGTTTTTGGAGCAGGTCCATTCCCAAGTAACTATAAGCCCTACCTGGACCAAACTTGCATGGATGATGCATTTAGGGATGTACACCAACCAACCTGCTTCGGATGCTGAATCTGACCTAGATTTTCCACATGAATGAATTTTAGCCATATTTTTAACTAAATTAACATGGATGATGTGTCTAGGGATGGACTTGCTTTGGATTCTGAATCTTGACCTACATTTTCCAGATATGTGACCAGGATAATGTTTTTGGACTAGCTATGTAATATTATATCCTTTTATGATTAAACATGCATGGTGCATCTAATGATGAAAACTTCCAGACTTGCTTTGGATGTTGGAACTCACCAACATTTTCTTGATAAGTATTTAAAGTTTAAGTAAACAGGTTAAAAGTTTTTTCAAGCAGGTCTCTTTCCAAGTAACTATAAGTCCTACTTAAACCAAACTTGCATGGATATTGATCTTGGGATGTATGCTAACCAGAAAAAAAATATTGTATGAGATTTGCATTACTTATGGATAACATTCATTGAGGTGAACTTCATAATCTTTCATTACCTATGTTTTGTGTTCCGGTAGTTTACATCATAAAGTGTTATTACAGTTTGAATGAACTTAGGATTATTTGCTTATATTGTAGAAATGGAGAATATACTGAAGAAGGAGAAAGCTAGACAAGAGAGAGAACGTGAGAAACAAGAGAAACAGAGACTGCAGGAGTTACATCAACGTGAGAAACAAGAAAAACGAGAGGAGGCCGAGAGGAAGCGACAACTTCAAAGTCAGAGAAAAACTGAGGAAAGTACAAGGTATAGTTTTTGAAGCTCTACTTGTCAGGAACCAGAACTTATGCATTGATGAGGTATCTTGTGCATTGGAACTACATGTAATAATAGTCTGAGAAATTCTTTCAAAGTGCCTCTCCTCCTCCATCTTTGTTCTATTTCATCAAATCTTGTAACATAAGTGTATATAATTCTGTCAGTTCCTTTGTGATTTCAATAAAGGATGTTAACATGGTTACTCAGAATAGTCTGAAATTGTTTCAAAATCCTAATTTCCTAATGTTCTGATTTCAATAAAACCTGGTATACAAATGGAATACATCAACTATTATGAATTCAAACCAGTAGAGCAACAGCCATGTCAGAGATTTATGGTTTTAGTCAGAAAATGAAATTTTCACAGGCAGAGAAGTGATTCACCTTTTGGAAGATTCTGTATTTCAGTTGTTTTGAGATTTTGTGTTCAGCCAAATTACTTTATTTTATCAGAAAAAAAGAAAAAGAACCAGTTAAGAATATGACAGCAGACTCGGCTTGTACTAACTACTGTGAGCAACGTATAGAAGACGCAAAGGAGAAACTGAAGGAAAATAACATGAGACATGGTTATCAGTTCCTGGCAGAGGTATTGAGGAAGGACCACAGATCTGAAAAACACAAAAAGTTGGAAAAAACTGCTTTGGAAATAGTGATCAAGTCTCTTGGAAAGTCCCTCAACCCAGGTAATACAAATATAAGATCATGGAGAACCAATAAACTTAAGTTTTGTAAGTCAAATGTTATGATAGGAAGAGAAATTATTTGACCACCAAACAATACACACCAAAAAATGCCCTTTTTTGGAATCAATACTAGTATTAGAAGGTAGTATTTTTTTTTTTACATTTTACTTTTATGTAAATTAGTTGAATCTGATTCACTGAGAAAAAAGTTGTTTAAAAAAACACTATTACCCTCTGAGTGGTGAAATCATGACCTCCAGCATAGAACATAGCAACTGTCAACATTGCTTGATGACAGATGATATACCAAAAAAAGTTGACTGTGCAGAATTTATGCGTGTACTGTTCACTGTTATATGTTTTTGTATATAACATTCAGGATAATGCAATAAATATTGCATATAGTTGACTATAACATTGAAAAGTTTTGCCCCCCAAAAATCATTATTAACAGCGGCTGTGCCTAGATTGATAATATTTTCTTGTAGTGAAAATTTTCAATGTAACCCTCAATTACATGCAATATTTTTATAATATTACAAAGAAAGTACATTTCAAAGACTGAAAGGCACTTTTGTAAAGACATGAATATAAATTTTTGTCAAGAAAAAAAAGCTGATTGTTCATAATCTAGCATGTCTGGGGCTTTCTCTTTCTGCAGAAATACCCGAGAAACTTGCTAAAATACCAAATAAACTGTATGAGAAAATCATCCAAGGACTAGCAGATAATGAAAAATGGAGACAGGTGTACATTGCAGTCAAAGAATACAGAATTTATTATGGAGAGCTGGCTATGCCCAATTTTGCCAAGTCGATGTCTGTGGCAAAAGTCATTCGACATTCCTCATTTCAGGGAGCAGAGCAGTTGTTAGTTGATATTGTGGACTACATGTTAAATGGTGGAGCTGTTTTAGAAAAAGGCATGGTTCATCTTTAGCTCTTCTGAGCCAAAGGCTCAAAGAGCTAATGCTATGGCCATTTGTGCGGTGTGCGTAAACTTTTTAGAATATGGGCCATAACTCAAGAACCCCTTGGCTAATTTTGTCAAATTTGTCACAGGGGTATCCTTGGCCCAAGGGCTCCAGTTTACACTAAAACTAGGGTTGTGACCCTTAAACAAGGGGAGATAATTAGGAAAATAGAAACAAAAGTACTGGTTGCTAAAAAATCTTCTTCTTAAGAACCACTGGGCAGATTATTACCAGACTTGCACAAAAGGATGAAGATATGTTGTACATTAAAAATTGTTCAAGGCATCACCCTGGGGCAAAGGGCATGGTCTCGGGTCACTTCAAAGTTGACCAAAAATTACATTTTATTAAAATGTTGATATTTTGCTTACTATAAGGACTAGGATCATCAAATCTTGTCAGTTGATGCATCTAAGGACCTCATATCATGTTGACTCAAAAGTAGGTCACGGTGACCTACTTTTTAAATTTTGCAGCCATTCTTTTTCTAAATGATTTAGAGGCATATTTTGAACAAGTAAAGGCCAATGATCATCAAACTTTGTCAGTTGATGTATCTTGGGTCCTCGGAGTACGTCGACTAAAAAGTAGGTCACCTTGACCAACTTTTTGCATTTTATGGCTAATCTTTTTCAAAACAATTAAGGTCATTAATTCGAATACATAGAGGTTTAGAATAATTAAATCTTGTAAGATGATGCATCTTGGGGCCATAAAACATTGTATTTATTAAAAAGTAGGTCACAGTGACCTACTTTTTGAACTTTGCAGGCATTCGATTTCAAAGCGTTTTAGAGGCATAATTTTGACATTTTAAGGCCTATGATCATAAAACTTTGTAAGAGAATGCATCTTGGGTCCTCAAAAAATGTCAACCAAAAAGTAGGTCACCGTGACCTACTTTTCAATTTATATGACTATGATTAAATATTTCGGGTACTAATTGGCTTAGAATCATCAAACTTTGTCAGTTGATGGGAGTAAGTCGACTGAAAAGTAGGTCACCGTGACATACTTTTGAAATTTTTTGGTTATTATTTTAAAAATAATTTAGGCAGGGCTCAACATTAAGGCACGTCCGACCGACTCAGACTAGTAAAAGTTAGGTCCGGTCTAGTTTATTTTGCTTCATGGTAGCCCGACTGATCGTGTAAAAATATTTCGATCGAAGTTCAAATGAAGCAAAACTTACAACAATTTTACAGACTTTTCTTGTTTATCGATGTGTTAGATCAGGTTTTACTTTCATTTTCTGATCCCAATGAAAAATAAAATAACTATGAACCAAAAACAAATACGTTTGTTTCCTGTATCACTGTAATCCGACTGACCCATTCAAATGCAGCCGGTTGGATTTTTTCTGCCAAATCTGTGTTTGATCAATCGATGCAATTTTTGAGATATAAAATACGTCAACCTAATCATATAAAGAGTGATGATCATTATTATATCATCTAGCAATCCCCCCCACAATATATTTGAACTTCGTTTTCTATGCCATGATGGGTGTTCACTGTAAATACCACACCTGGTTAGTTTAGTCCGGGGATGTTTGACCCCATTATTTAGGCATTAAGGAAAGTGAAAATAAAAGATTTAAAGTGGAAAGTTTATTAAAGTCAATATGTGAGATCGTATTAGCAAAAAAAAAAAAAAAATACTACTGACCAACACTTGTTTGTTTTGTTTTGTTTTTTATTTCTTTTTTTGGAAATATTACAGGAAAGAAACATTTTTTTTATTCTAAGTATATATATCAATATTTTAATAATCATGCTGCCATTTGACTTTCTCTTAAATGCTAACTTTAACAAGATTTTCCCTTCCTGCTACGTCATTTAGGACAACTTTTGCACGGTGTGATTTAATTTAGCCAGGCATAGCACTAATCCGAATTGAAATACATCTCCCTTTCTGATATTTTCTTGAATTTATTAAAAAGAGGTTTATTTAATTTTCTTTGCAGCAAAACCAACTTATAAGCTTCGATTTGCTTACACTGACAATGTTATTCAACTATGGGTTTTTCTCTTCATGATCATATTCTTCAGATTGTAATATATTAATTAATTCAGTAAACAACAGATATTAGGTCAGGTCTAGTGAAATTATGGTCAGGTCTAGTAAAATTTTCATGTACAAGTCCGACTGGTCTAGTTTATTTTAAAGTTAATGTTGAGCCCTGAATTTAGGTATTAATTGGCTTAGAATCATCAAACTTAGTTGATGCATCATGGGTCCTCAGAGAATGACAAGTGATAAGTAGGTCACCATGACCAACTCTCAGGTACTAATTGGCTTAGAATCATCTTGGATTCTTAGAGTGTTTCATCTAAAATGTAGGCCATGATGACCTACCTTTGGAATTTCAAGGCTTTATCTAAATATACAGGATACTTAGAGGCTTCAAATAGAAGCGATATGTTGTACAGTTTATTAGAAGAGCGATTCAAGGCCCTTGGGCCTCTTGTTTTTTTATATACTAGTATTTTTTAAAGATTTAAATTTGATATTTGAAAGGTTTGAAAGGGGGGAATTTGCCAGAAAATGATTCTCATTTAAAGTTTTTATTTCCCCCAAAATAAATGCATAAGAAATCAATGGATATTATGCGTGTCATCAGGTCACCTGAGTCACTCAGGTGACCTATTGCTTATTGCTATCTGTTTTTGTCCACCCTTGCATTAACTTTTGAATATTTTCAGCTCCTTCTCTGCAACTGCTGAACCGATTAGAACCAAGTTTGGCATAGAATATCTATGAGTACAAAAATTCATGGTCCATGGGGGGGGGGGGGGGGGACTAAAACCATAAAAATTAGTGCTATAGTTTAAAGTTTTCTTTACTCTTGAACATCAAGCAGTCAAACCATTGGCATGATTGTAATAACATTCAGTTCTCTACCAAAATTGTGATATTCAGGGTCAGGGGTTCTGGAGTTAGGTTGTGGCTCTAATGATCATATAGTGAAAATCGATAAATTCTTTAAAAACCTTCTTCTCTGCCCCTGTACATAAGGCAGATAAACCAGATGCATTGTTATGTTGATTGAGGGTGCTTCTTCCAAAATTGTGAAATTTTTGGCCCAAGGGTGAGGGTTTCTGGATGGGGGTCTATTGATTATGTAGTCAAAGTGCATTATTTCTTCTTCTCTGCTCCTTGGTATTAAGCAGATAAACTGAGTGCATGGTTATGATGAGGAAGAATGTTTCTTCCAGAATTGTGAAATTTATGGCCCCAGGGTCAGGGTTTCAAAAAGGAGGGGGGGGGGGGTATTTAGCAGAGAAACTGATTTAATGATTATGATGAGCAAGGATACCTTTTTAGAAAGTTTGAAATTCATAATCCTAGGGTCAGGGGTTTTGGTGTTTGGGTGGGGCTTATTTGAATATATAGTAACAATGCATTATTTCTTTCAAAATCTCCTCTGCCTTTGGGTATTTAGCAAACATACTAAGTGCATGACTATGATGAGCAAGGATGCATCTCCCAAAGTTGTTAATTTCTTGCCCCCCTGGCCAGGGGCACTCATGAAGGGTAGGGCTGTGGTATCTATATCTGTATCTGTAGTGAAAATAAATTATTTCTTTGAAAATCATCATCTCTGCTTATTTGAATTCGACTGAAAGAAGTTATTCCCCTATGCTTTTTACTTATGATAATTAAGACCGCGGAACATTAACTGGCAAAATTGGAAATATGCAGCTTACGCCATTTCCATCTGTTACGGTCAAAATATTTAATGATAGACAATGAAATGGGCGGGTACAATTCGACACGGACGTCCTAGAAAACATTGGATTGAAATTCTTGTTTGAAATTCATTTTCAATCCACCTGAGCTGTTTTCAAATGCAAAGTGTGAATGTATGATTCAAAAGACAAATAATTTCAATTCCCAAATATGTGTCGTTTGAAATTCATATTTATATGAGTTTTAGCCTAAATTTTAAGGACACGTAAAAGTCATAGAAGACAGAGATTATTTTTTTAGGGGACGGCTACTTGATTATAGAAGAGGGGGGGGGGGGTCAAACATTGTCGAATCAGATCATGCCTTCACATGACAAAAAATAATTATTTCTAGGATGACAAGAGCTATTTTCTTTAGTTTTGTCTTTACTGAAAAATGTTTGACAATCAAAAACAGGGAGGAGTTGTCCAAACTAAAAAAAATAACTTCCTTTTTTTATTTCCAAGATTGTTCAGCCCCCCCCCCCCCCCCCCCCAACACACACATGCACATACCTAACAGAAATAAAATATTTAATTGTCCCTTCAAATTTCTTTTAAAACACTGGACTTAAATTCTTATTTATGTACATTTCAAACTATTCCGAAATTGAAATTATTTGTCTTTTGGGTCAATCAGTAACACCATGATTCTAGCGTAGCTGAGGTGGATTGAAAATGAATTTCAAACAAGAAAACCAATCCAATGTTTTCTAGGACGTCCGTGCCAAATTTTACCCGCCCATTTCATTGTCTATCATTAAACATTTTGACTATAACAGATGGAAATGACGTAAGCTGAATATTTCCAATTTTGCCTGTTAATGTTTCGCGGTCTTAATCATTGTAAACAATGTAATTGAAAGGTCAATTGAATAATAGAATACACAGCCATATCATTAAACATTTTGACTGTAACAGATGGAAATGACGTAAGCTGCATATTTCCAATTTTGCCAGTTAATGTTCCGTAGTCTTAATCATTGTAAACAATGTAATTGAAAGGTCAATTGAATAATAGAATACACAGCCATATGTAATATGTTACAGTATATATGGTTTATGTACATAGGTAATATTCCTAGAAAAAAATAGCAAGTGACCCAGTAAGGCCCATAGACATTATGTTATTGCTATTTTGTAGTTTGTGTAACAGAAAAAAATTATATCAAACAATTTTGAATTACAGATGGAAAAATGGCCATCCTTGCTGCAGTACAAGAGTGCCAATTTAAAGTTTTAGAAGTCTTGTTTAAATGGGATGCTAGCCCTGTTCATCTGACTATCAACCAGGGAGACACGCCCATTCATGCTGCTTTGTCCATTGCATTGGAAAGAGACAAAGGTTTTAATTATTAAGATTGTAGAGAATAACAAATGATCCTTATTTTGTTTTAAATGTCTAAGGATATCAGTTTTTTACTTACACAAATGATCGGATCATCCCATTTAAAAAAAAATTTTTATTAAATCAAATGATGGGGTGTTATCTGAAGCTGAAATTCTTTTAGAATATTTGATCCTGCAACAACATATTCAGATTTCTCCATCTCATCTGTTAAAACCACAATTTTAAGCATACAGGATTTATTCAGTTTGTAATATTATTACTGAACTGTAAAATAGAATTCCTCAGTTACTCTTTGGAAATTTCTTCTTTGATCATTCATTTGTCTTTGGTAGGAAATTTTTCCATCCTGAACTTATTCTTTGATATGTATGAGAAAGATCCAGAGAAATATCCTATGTTAGACCCTTCACAGACAAACACAGAAGGAGATGGACTTTTTCATCTGGTAGCCAAAGCTAAATACAATGCAACCACACAGAAAGCTACAGAATTACTTTGTGACAAAAAAGTGAATGCCTCCATATATAATGCAGAAGGGAAACTCCCCAAAGACTACCTCAACTCAAAGAATGACAGAAGGTTACAGGTTAGTGTATCTATAAAATGAGAGACATCACTGAAATTTAAAAAAAAAATGCAAACTCATCTTTTAAATCAGTCTTTTGAAGAACAGCAGAGCCCAAGTAAGTGGAGTAATGGTTTTGGCCCTTGGGCTTCTTGTTCATGTCGGTTATCTCCCCATTGCCATCACATGTATATAGTTACTGTATCTATCCATATTGAGTTTGTACACATAAGTAATACTTTTTAGCAGACAAAAAAATTATCTTTTTAGTTGGAAAAAAAATAATGGGTAGAAGGATGCCTTAGAAAAAGTTTTAAGATATGGAGACTTCATCTCACCACAACATTTAAAACAGAAAAATGGTTCAGTTGAAATATGTAAAAAAAAAAAATTAGTGCACTGCCTTGTCTAGAATGAATGAGAAAAAGTTGCTGATATCCTGGTACCTAATTCGTAGACCGCAGCTGCCACTGCATTCATAACGGTGGAGTAGGATTCATTGTAGATGAGTGCACGAGGAAATGAAGAATATTGATTTGGTTATCAAATGAACATGGATCTCTCTTTTTCAGTTCTTTCGCCTGGCTTCAGTTGGAGGAGTTGTCAAACCAAAGAAGAAACAAAAACCCAAAATTCCAAAAATAGATGACACTGGAACTCCTGAGAACCAAGAGGAGAGTGAGCAGGATCTGATGCTGTACGAACGACAGGAGGAAACTCCTCCCAGGTCAGAAGAGGTCAAGGACAGGAGGTCCAAACAGGTGCTCTCAGTTCACAAGGAGGCCATCAAAAGACACATTGAGAACATGATCTACAATCTGCCAGATATTCCTTACTCCATCTTCAATCCCAAAGTTATCAAGTTTGATGAAATTCCCAGCTTTAAGCGAAAGAAGGAATCATCTGAAGAAAAGCAGGCACCTATGGTTAGTATTAACAGTGCATGGTCAAAGATTCCTATCTGTTCTTAAAGAATCCATTGCAGAGAGCTAAAATGATTTAAAAGTACAAATAGATTTTTTTGAAATTTATACTCTCACCCATACAATAGTATAATTGATGAAGTGGTTGAAACTTATAAATAGGTGTCTGAAAAAGCAGAGGATCTGGACATGCAGGAGGATGAAGATCCACAGGAAGCCGGGGAGGATCAAGAAGTGGAAGAGGAGGATCTAGAGGTAAAAAAAAACATTACTATGAAAATGCTTGAAACATCTGTTCCTCTTTTTTTGTATAATGGAAATTTTAAATGTGCATTTTTTTTCGTCATCCAAATGTGTCAGAAAGTCATTTTGACACAATTTGGTTTGCTTGGTGGCATATTTCTAGTACAGATACATGTGATGTGCATTTGATAAAATGTTTGAAATTCATACATATGATGTTGAGAGTAAAATTAAACTGGGCCGAAGTACAATGGGGGTGAAACTTCTCACTTCATAGATCAGAACTGTTTTGTAGGAGAACTTGGTTTACTAAGATACTATACATAAGATATGTCAAATGTTAGCTTTCAGGCATCAGAGCATTTCAGAGATGAAAAATTTTGTTCATTTCAGATTGATCCACAAGTGTTTGACAACTTAGAATGGGAAGTTGAATGTACTGCTGATGTATGGAGAACCCTGAGAGACAAGAAAGTCCAACCAGAGATGAAGCAGAGAATAATCCGAAAAATCCAACTCCTAGCAAAGGGGGAATGGAGGACTCACTTGTGTAAAGAACTAAAGAATGTTCCACCCACTCTTAAACTGTTCGAGGTAAAACTGAGTAAAGGCGACAGGATCATTTGGGAGCTTGCCATTGCTTTCTCCCCAAGACTTAGTGAGAGTGCAGAGCAGAGGCTTCAGTATACAGAAGATGGAGCTGGCCAACCTGTCAAAGGAGGCAGGATTTACTCTGAGGTCATTAGGGTGTGGGACATAGTCCTTGACCATGACAAGATATATAGATCAGTGCAGCGTATCATCAAGTCTCATAGCCGAGGGGAGGAATGCATAATTCAGAAGAATTTAAAAGGCGTCAAACAGACCCAGTTTATGGCTGGAGCAGGGAAGAGATTTCCTATGATTTTTGCCGAGAGTGATGTTGAAATGGATAAAAAAGCTCTACAGGAATATCAGGAGAGCTTGCAGAAATATTACCCTCCTGCAAGCTCCAACGAAACAGAATACCACATCCTTAAATTTTATAACTTTGATTCTAATTTGGTCAGCCATGTGTTGCAAAATTTAGAGGTTAAAGTGGATTTCCCCTTCAGGGTGACTGATTTAGAACATGCCATAATCAACCTTAGGACAGTGGCTCCCATTCTGTTACTGGGTCGAAGTGGGACAGGAAAAACCACCTGCTGCTTGTATAGACTGTGGAGCCAATATGTGTCTTACTGGACTCGAGCAACAGAAGCTGAATCCAAACTCCTTCCAAGATGTCAGATCTTCAGACAAGAGGAGGAAGACATTGCTGATGGTGGGTATTCAATTTTCTTCAATGGAGGATAAAATTTTTTTTACAATTCAAGTAAAAGTATTGAGGAAAATGAGATTACTTTTTAAATTATTGGGGAGGGGGTCTTTCATTTGCATACTTTGTAGTAAATGAAACTTCAAAGATGTGTTCCTTTGAAATTTAGGAGAAGAGGAGGAAGCAGCAGAAGACCAAGAAGAAGAAACAGCAGATGAAGAACCAGTCAGAGCAGTAAATGAAGAAGAAATGGAAGAAGAGGGACAGCTGTATGACCATCTTCATCAAATCTTCATTACCAAGAATGTAGTTCTGTGTAGTGAGGTCCAGAAAAATTTCAGGGAGCTCAGCCATGCCTGTGATGTAGCTAAGAACTTTGTCACAATGGAGGACCAGGTGCTTCCTAACAGGATACAGGACATTGGTGATTTCCAGTTCCCAGTATTCACCACATCAAAGAAACTGCTCCTGATGTTGGATGCTTCCTTAGAACCACCTTATTTCTTTGACAGAAATGAAGATGGAAGTTTAAAGGTTGACTGTTATGGTTACTTAAAATGGACTGAATTGGATTTTCCTTAAAAAAAAATGATAAAATATTATTAAGGTTAATTATGTGTGATGTTTTTGAAATTCAGGAGTGTTGTGTAAATTGTAGGTAGATGTCCAAGGATGGTCAGAAACAGATGGGGCTTTAAGCTTCCTCCCCATGTTAGAAGAGGTTTCAGATGATGAGGAAGATGAAGATGATCAATACCAAGACGCAGATGAGGAGGAAGATGACAGTGATGAAGATCAAGAACTTGGAGCCCGTCCCCGCAAGAAAGTCGACCCAAGGAGGGAGGTCACATATGAAGTATTTGCTGAGGAAGTTTGGCCAAGAATAAGTAAGAAGTGGTCAGGGCGCTATCATCCATCTCTCATCTGGATGGAAATCATGTCCTTCATCAGAGGATCATTTGAAGCTCTCTCTAAGCCTACAGGATACTTGTCTAAGCAGGAATACTTGGATTTAGGAAGAAAAAGGGCTCCTAATTTCTCTGGGGAAAGAGAGCACATTTATGAGATATTTAGGAAGTATGACCACTTCAAGAGCCAAAAGTTTCTGTTTGATGAAACAGATTTGGTACAAAATGTCTACAACAGGTTTGTAATTAAAATTTTACATAGGAAAACTTCAAACATTTCAAGTTCAGTTTATAGGTTCTTTATTGACTTCAAGGAAAGCAGATATGTACTATTTATTGAATTTTGACAAACATTGAATATGCCATTTAGGTTTAAAAAGGAGAAAGAAATGAAATGGATCATCCATCAGATTTATGTGGATGAGACCCAGGACTTTACTCAGGCTGAATTGTGCCTTCTATTGCGGGTGTGTCAGTCACCAAACGAGATGTTCCTGACGGGGGACACAGCACAGAGCATCATGAGAGGAATAGCTTTCAGATTCAATGATCTCCGCTCTCTCTTCTTCTATGCCAAGAAATCCATGCATGCTATTGGCAAGGCATCTGGTGTAAAAGTGCCAAAACAAGTAATTCATTTATATTTCAAGGAACTTTTTATTCTATGTTTTACATTTGCTGAAGAAAAAATTTAGAAAAGGTTGTTTCATTGGTTAGAAAAACCGATTTAGCTTTCTACCGACCACAACAAAATTAAGTTGATAAAAAATAAAAAGCAACCCTTTCTTTGCGAACTGCTTGGCACCTTGAAGTAAAAATTGTGTGTCTCTCAGATGATACCTAAAAAATTGAGGCCTGGTGTCACAGCAAGCATTGGCACTATATAAAATCCTCTGTGCTCAATGACATTGAGTAAAGGTCTAAATTTGAAGCACTTTACAGGGTTCGACACTAACGGTAGCCCGCTAGCTGGGACACCTGAAAATTGAGGTCGGGCTACTAAACATGTCTTCGAGTTTGTCCAGCAGGGCTACTGCAATTTATTACCAAACACTCAATCGGAGCATGAAAAAATTAATTTAAAAGCACACAAGTCCCAATTTTGTTACTTTCCGAATCATCCCGTGTTTTGCGATTCTCGGTAACTTACCTTATCGCTGTACATTGCACGACACATCCACATGTGTGGCAACCAACCAGTTATCAAAAGACTTATCAGATACAAAAAAATTAAAGAGATAAACATCATGTGTTAATTAAAAAATTAGCAATCTAATTGATTAATTATCCTTATTGAAGAAATGCTCGTGTTGAAAACGTATGGTTTTCCTCATCGATGTCGTAGCATTGTTTGTGGGTGAAACACGATGCATTAGGAATTGACAGATTGATAGAACGACAATTTTAAAAGCTTCCATGAGCATTTATTGTTTTTGACAACACCTCAAAATTAAAAAAAAAAATAATTACTGCATTTGAAGTACCCTACAGTTTGGGTTATTTCGAACATTACCGCAACCAAACAAATTGCACACGCACACTTACTGAATATGTCAGATATTTTTGTAACATGTAGCTTTCTTTAAATGCAAGGAATATAAAAGTTAAAGTATGAAAAGCAACAGTGAATAAAAATTAGCCCCGGTATATATTGGTCAGTATTGACCTTTTTATCATACACTGAAATACATTTCACACAGATCTATACAAGCATGCCAGTACGTTCTTGTTATACAGAAATAATAATACATTGTTTCTGATATCTTAACATTATCAAATTAGTTTAATTCATTTTCATACATTTTTTATTATCATTTTTGACTGTATCGAAGATGGACTTGCCTTGTATTGTAGATCTGATTTCATATACTTGACTTTTCTTTAATACTAAATAACCAGTTACGAACTTTTTAATCAGATTGTTTGCAGTCAAAATGCAAAAGGTGATTCGGAATACCCTAAATGACTGTAAATGTGGAATTTTTCAATAAGAAAAACGTCTTTTGTTCAGTCATGAAGTGACATATAATTTTACCCAAAAATGTAGCCAGAATCCAGGCTTTGGCATCTCTATTTTAACAATTTTCTGGGGGAGGCCCCCCGTACCCCCGCCGGCAGGAGGGGGAAACCCCCTCCCACACCTACCTCCCCCCTTGTGGCTTCGCGACTCGGCCAGCAGCCTTTGGCTGCTGGACAACTAATTCATGATCAGGGCTAGTAGAAATTTGAAATTGCTAGCCCTGCGGGCAACTATGGTTTCAAAGTTAGTGTCAATCCCTGCTTTACAGGTATCTGATGATGTCTTTTATGAGTGAAATAATCCTGCAAGGAACTTAAAACTACAACAATTAATTGTTCCTCTCCTCAACCCCCCCCCCCCCTTTCAAAAAAAGTGGGATTTAAAAACAAATTTCTTTTGCAAAAAAAAGGAGTACTATTTTGTAGAGGAATGTACGGTCTTTTCAGTCCCAGAATTATAATAATTTTAACTTTGTCAAAGAGAAATACTTATACTGAAATCTTGTAGGTGTACCAGCTGACTCACAATTATCGTTCCCACGCTGGTATTCTGTCCCTAGCCTCCAGTATTTTGGAACTGATGGTGGAATTCTTCCCAGAATCCTTTGACAGACTTCAGAAAGACCAAGGTCTGTTCCAGGGACCTGCTCCTGTACTACTGGAGTCCTGTAGCTTCAGGTATTTGATGTGAATTTATATCTGTAAAATTTTTAGTTCACCTGAGCTGAAGGCTCAAATGATCTTTTCTGATCAAGATTTCTATTGTCCTTGTCATCACTGCGTAGTCGTCGTAAACTTTTTACAATTTCATCTTCTTCTCTAGAACCATTGGGCTATTTTCATCCAAACTGGCACAGAGTATGCTTGGTTGAAGGGGATTCGGGTTTTTTTTCAAATAAAAGGCTTATCTTCATCCAATTGGAAATAAGAAAAACGTAAAAATTGGGTGTGGTCATTTAAAAATCTTCTTCTCAAGAACCACTGGGCCAGAAAAGATGAAATAAATGTATATGTGAAATCTTCTTGACATAGTGTGGATTCAAGTTTGTTCAAATCATGACCCTGGGGAGTAGGGTGGGGTCACAATGTGCAATTGAAGTTTTACATGGGTATGTATAGGAAAAATCTTAAGAACAGGAAAGCCATGATAAGTCATTATATTAATATAGAAGCATCCACAGGTAGTGTAAAATCAAGTTTATTCAAATCATGACTCGTGAAATATTTTTCATAACCAATTGTATCTATTTAGAAGTTCTGGTCCATTGTAAACAAATATGAATAAAAAATCAGGTGAAGGTGAACACAACTTTTCATGACTAATTTTATCAAATGGTCCTATGTAAAAAAAACAAAAAAAAGAAAACAACAAAAAAACAAACAAATGTTCACCTGAGAGCTTTTGTGCAGGTGAACATAACTTGGTGTGATTTTTCAGTGAATCAGAGAGCCAGGAGTTATTCAATCATTAAAAAAAATATATTTATCCCTATCAATGAAAAGATTTTAGAAGTGTTCTGGAATAAAATTATCACATGTTTAAACATGATTTAAATAGTGATTTGGCAGTGTTGTTGAGAGGGAACAAGAGGAAGACCTCTCACATTGAGTTTGGAGCCCACCAGGCTATCTTAGTGGTTAATGATGCTGCAAGGGATAACATTCCAGAGGAGTTAAATCTGGGGCTCATTCTGACAATCTATGAGGCCAAGGGACTCGAGTTTGATGACATACTCCTCTATAACTTCTTTAAAGATTCACAGGTATGATGAGAACTGAATTTTCTATTGACAGTATTTTCCTCTGTTGTATTAATAAAAACAAGGTCTTTGAAATCGAAATATTCCTAAGAGTACTAAATGTTTTAAGTATATACACTGGATTAAAATTTTACTTGTATGTTAGGCAACAAAAGAGTGGAGAGTGGTTACCGAGTACCTAGAGAAGTTGGCATCAACTAATGCACAAAACAAACAAAATGCATCCGAGAGTTTAGTGGAAATTGATGCAGGTAAGGGGGGGGGGCAAAAATTGTTCTTTGAAGTATCAAACCATTTGATTTTTTTGAGCTGAATGAGACAAGCATTGTTTTGTTTTCATCATGTAAAAAAGGGGGAGGCATTTGGGGTTACCAATTGGCTCTACATTCTACTTTGATTTCCATATAGCAACATGAAAAACAAGATGTGTTTGTGAAACACTGATGCTCTTGTATGGCAGCTTATGGCAAAGGTTAAAGTTTCTCAAATGCAAATCAAAGTTCAAGGTCTAGATATCAAAAATGTTGGTACCCAAAGAAAGGTCTTGTCACAAGGAATACAAATGGTGAAATATGAAAGCCCTTGCAGCAACCATTTAGAAATTAAGGTTAGTTTTTCAAAAGTATGTCAAACGTCAAAATGTCAAAATTGTTGGTACCCAAAAGAAGGTTGTCTTATAATTGTGACAAAGATTACACTTGTGAAATATGAAAGCCATTCGACTCGGTCAAAGTTTTTCAAAAGTAGGTGAAATGTCAAGGTCATAAGGTCAGAAATATTTGTATCTAAGGGAAGGTCTTGTCACAAGGAATATACATGTGAAGTATGAAGGCCCTTGCACCAACTGTTCTAAAGTTAGAGTTGGAAAATTATTTTACAAAAGTGGGTCAAACTCCCAAAGTTAAGAGTTCAAATATGTGGTACCCAAAGAAAGGTCTTGTCACAAAAAACAAAAAAATATGTCAAGAATGAAAGTCCAAGCTCCACCAAACAAAAGTTATGGGCAAGGTTAAAGTTTTTGTGGACAAACAGACGGACAGAGCGAAACATACATGTATATGCTCCCAAATCTTCGATTAGGTGACATAAAAAGATTTTGGTTTGCAATTGCTTTGTTTACAATTTGTATGTCTCAAATTGACTCCTGGGGAATAGTTATTATAAACACTTCAAAATATACACTTGATATTAATACATAAAGTATTATAGAAGAATATGCACTGTTTTGGAGTTATTATCTGTCTGCATGTTTGTCCGTTAACAGTTTTTTAAATTGCTGCTTTTACTTTTTTTTTTAAGATAACGATAATACTTGGTAGCAAGAAGCTTTTGAACTCTTGACCTTGGCTATATGAAGATATTTAAATTTATACATGTGTATATTTTTTTCAATGAACTGTTTGCTTTGATTACTTTGATTGAGGTAGAATTAAATTGTGAAATTCTATCAAACTCTTACTTCTACTTTGGTTAGATTTCCTTAAACATAGGCACAAATGCAAAAGCATCAAGATTTAAAATTCTGTAAAACTAAAGTACACAAAAAAGAAATGTTACATGTTCAAGAGCATTTTTATACCCCTGCTCCGAAGGAGAGGGGGGTATACTGTTTTACCTTGTCTGTCTGTCCTTAACAAATTTTTCGTCACAGTTTTCTCAGCAACTACTCATCACAGATGCTTGAAATTTTAGCACACACTTTGTTGAGGCATGCCATATGGTGGGATTCATTTTTGTACGAATCCGATGTCAACTTCCTGTTTATCCATGCGTCTGTCCATACCATACATAACAAATTTTGGTCGCAGTTTTCTCAGCAACTACTGACTGCAGATGCTTGAAATTTTAGCACATTCTTTGTTTAGGCATGCCATATGGTGGGATTCATTTTTGTATGAATCTGATGTCAACTTCCTGTGCGTCTATCCGTACCATACATAACAAATTTTGGTCACAGTTTTCTCAGCAACTACTGATTGCAGATGCTTGAAATTTTAGCACACCCTTTGTTTAGGCATGTCATATGGTGGGATTCATTTTTGTATGAATCCGATTTCAACTTCCTGCTTATCTGTGTCTCTGTCCTTACCATACAGAACAAATTTTGGTCGCAGTTTTCTCAACAACTACTGATTGCAGATGCTTGAAATTTTAGCACACTCTTGGTTTAGGCCTGCAATATGGTGGGATTCATTTTTTAATGAATCTGTTGTCAACTTCTTGTTCATCCTTGTGTCTGTCCATAACTGAACTTGTGTACATTCACATCAGAATGTATATTCACATCAAAGTGGGGGTATTACTAGTGAGCATTGGCTCACAGACTTCTTGTTCTTGTACTGATACACCATGAATTTAAACCAGTAAAGCTACAGTACAGTTCATCAGAGATTTCTGGTCTTTTCATATATGAACCACCTCTTGCCTTTAACATTGGTATCAAAGTGCCGTATCTTGTAAACTTCAGAGGTTTTCAAGCTTGCTGACCGTCCAAGGCCATTGGCATTTGACCCCAACCAACATAAGGTCCTGAATGCTGAACTGAAGCACCTTTACACTGCAGTAACTCGTGCACGAGTCAATGTGTGGATCTTTGATGAGGACATGGATAAGAGGGCCCCTATGTTTGAATACTTCAAAGCTCGCAAACTTACAAGGATTATCACTAGCTCAGAAGTGGAAGATGGTATTGAATTCTTGAAATATTTAAGTGTTTAATATTATCTTTTTTAAGAAGTAAGATTTTAATAAGTAAAATATTTTCCCCAAAATCTTTAGTGCTTTTCTTTCCAACAATTTCCATAGAAAACCTTTCACCATAAATGAGGACACTTATTTCAGAGACAGCAGGTGGAATGTTTGCAGAAGAATCAACATCAGAGGAATGGCTGAAGAGAGGAGAAGAATTCATGAAGCATTCTTTGTATGAGGTAGCAGCCAAATGCTTCAATCGTGGGAAGGACTTCCACATGGAGAAAATAGCCCAGGCTCATCAATCAGCTCTTGTTGCATCAAGGTTTGTCTCCTTACTTCAGAATGCAGTCTTTTGTTCCACAGTTGCTGCCTTCTCTTTGGAAGATACCATAGAGCTTGTCAATCAAAGATACATTAATGTGGCTTTCAAAGAGGGTGCATATAATCATGTCAACTTATTTTCCTTGTTTGTGCTTTAGAATGAAGGACAATCCTGCCAAAATGAGGGAAGCATTCTTAAGGGCTGCTGAGAAATTCCTGGAGTGTGAACTTCCTAACAAAGCTGTCATCTGTCTACAGAATTCACGTGAAAAGGAACTGGTGGCTCACCTGTACGAGAAAATCAATCAGGTCAGTAGGAGGGAGAATTCCAAAGAATTTGAAAATTTAATTGGTTTTGATTTGGTGAAGATCTTTGACAAAATAAGAAACAGAATGTAAGCTATGTATATTTTATTTTTGAATGTTGTAGCTTGAAAAGGCTGGGGAGACATATCGAAAACTGAAGCGTCCTGCTGAAGGGAGTAGGTGCTATGAGCAGCTGGGAAAATTCAATTTGGCAGTAGATACTTTAGTGGAGAATGATCTGTATGAAATGGCTATTGACACACTGCAGAGATACAAACTTCTGAAAGAGGTATTTTATAAATGTCAGTGTAAATTGCGGAGATTGTTATCTAGTCTGATTTAACATAGCTGGAGTTAATCAGATCTGTTTAAAATTTGATTGCATAACATTGTATGATACTATCATGAAATCTGCCCAGCATGGTGAAAAAGTAAACTTTGCAAAATTTCCCACTTTCGACATAATTTTCAAATTGGTTTCCATTGGAAATTTTTTTTAAAAAAAACTACTGATACATGATTCATGTAAAATTTAAGGATTTAGAAAGGAAAAGAATACCATTGCCACAGATTCTGAAAGAAAATGCTCCAAGAAAACTGCACACAGTAGAAAGTTTGAGTTTTAAAGCAGCTGAAATTTATCATCGCTCCAAGAATAAGGAGAAAATGAAGGCTGCCCTCAGTCGTTTGCCCAAGCTGGAGGAAAGAACAGACTTTCTGATTCGCAAAAGTTACATAGAAGAAGCAGCTTTCTTATTCCAAGAAGCAGGTAGGTGTTAACAAATTGTCTTAGCTATAAACACTTAGAGCATTGAAATCATGAGTTTGCAAGGTGAGAGTTAGTTTTAAAAAATGATAAAGTCAACCCTTCATTAAATGAAAATGCTATTTCAGAGGTGAGAAAAAACGGTTATTTTGTTACTGGTATTCTGTTAAGCTTCAATACTAAGATTGTCTTCTGTTTCAGACAAGCTCAGAGAAGCAGTGGATCTATATTCTAAAGGAGGGATGAACAAGAAAGCTTTGGAGTGTGCCCAGAAGTTGGGAGATAAGGATGTTGTTGGACAGAGTCTGATCCTAGACAGCAAAGTACAGCTGAGTCAGTATGATAAATATGAGGACATTGATGAAGAAGTGAAGAATGAAATCTGTGAAAATCTGAACCAAGCATTTTACAATCTTCACGATTTGGAGAACAAGGTTGCAGCAGGAGAAGCAGCTTTTTTGAGAGGAGAACTCACTGGGAATAGAGAATTCATTAACAAAGCTTTTGGAGAATTTTCTCATTCCCGACCAACTCGATCTGAAGCAGGACAGTTGGAGTGCATGCATTGGATGGTTCACAACTCTGACTTGATGAATAGGACGAATCTTCAGCAATGTATCATTGGAATGCAAAACCTCTTCCGAGTCTTGTCGGTACTTGCAAAACCAGTCAATGAAGAAGAAAGATATCGCCTTCAAGAAATCTTCAAATTCTTTGGGTTTTATCCTGCAGAGGAAGAGAATAGTCTTGTTTATTATCCTAAACAGCTTCCAAGAGCACTACAGATTTTGCCTCAGACTTCCAAGAAAGATTTTAGATGCAAAGAGAACAAGATGAAGATTCAGATGGAAATCAGCAAATTTCTGGTGAAGAGAGGGATTGAATGGAAGAGGAGACTAGAAGAGGCCATTACTACACACAGGAACAGTAGAAGTCAATGTCCAGCATTCAAGCTTGGAGAACAATGTGAAGATAAATCTTGTCCTTACCTTCATGTCTCTTTAACACCCAAGAGTTTTGATCTTTTGACAGAATTTGACATGATGGCCGTTGAACTTGAAATGTATGTTGATCATGGTGCAGTTGATGTTATTGAAAGAAATGAAGAAGTTGGTGTGTCATGTTTCATTCCAGACAAATTTAAAGAAAGATACAAGGCATGTGATTGGTTGCTGGAAGATCTTCTGCCAGTGAATTATCATATAGCAAAAATATCCTCAGATGCCAATAGGGCTCATGATTTGCTGAGAAAACTTAAATACCCAAAATTGACATATGTAAGGAAAAGAATGATAAAATACTTAAAGAACCTGTATGAGGAAATGGAAAGCAGTGAGAGAAAAGACAATATTAAAGTGTTTGTCATGATTCGCTTTGTCAATCATTTGTTAAATCTGCAACTCAAGCCTAAACCTGAGGATATTATGTTTTCATTCGAACAATCAATGGATAAAGAATGTGCAAAGAGAGAAGAAAGGAGAATGAAAGATTGGGCAATGAAGCTTGGATTGATGATAGATGAATATGAGGGGAAAACCTACATTCGTTCCATTGCTAGAAGGTTCTGTGATGGGTATGATCAAATAATGGGATTCAATAATGATCCAGCTGAGGCATTGATCCAGTTTACCAAGTTCTGTGTCCTATTGAGCAACACTGGAAGTATAGAACTCCTCCCTCACTATAATCACCTCTTCTTGTGGATGGAGTACTATACCACAGTTGCCTTTTCTCTGTCTGCTAAAATTCAGAACACACCAAACTTCTTTTTTGTTATTCCAGAGTCCTTCATTTCAGTAGTCTATTTCATAGATTCCACCTTTGTTCATGAAAAGGGGGTACCAACTTTTGAAGCTATTCACAGACACAGAAACTGGAAGGCCAATGATACTGGTCTCTTTCAAGATCGTTTGAAAAGACTTATAGGAATTTTATGTGGATTTCGCTCAAAAATAAACCTGGTGCGTCACATTTTTCAATCTGACAATCCGGAAAAGCAAATTGAAGATGGCAGATTTGGTCTTGCAGAAAGACTTCTTGTGCTTTTATTGGTGTTTGTTTGCAATCTGGGTAAAAGTGTTTTTCCTGATGTAGAAACAATTTTGATGGGAGAGCTATGCAAAATCAAGGTATGGGAGCAGTACCCTAGCAGATTATCAGAAGCTCTGAAACTGGTGCAGCAAGCAGATGGACCAGCAGACGTGGCAAAAGCACTCCAGAATCTGCTGTCAAAGAGAGAGAATGACTCTCTGAGATACTGTGTGTGGGATAACAGTGTGGCAAGAAATGGTCTGAAAAATCTGGAGCTAAAAGCTGTGGAACTCAACAAGAAATTCTTCCTGGAGGAGGAAACACTTCAGGCTATGGATAACCCTCATGATGTGGTCTTAAATAATGCAGAGACAGTTGTACAGGATGATGATATGGATACAAAAATTACAATGGAGGAAAAACTGAAGATAGACCGAAATAGGTGGGAGCAAGAGAGGAAAGAAAAGGAGGATAAAGCCAGCAGAATTATTACCGAGTTCATACGGAGATCCATACTACGGACAAAAGCCCAAGTATTATATTATCTTGTAAAAGATCAAATAAAACGTGAAAAGGATGAGGAGAGGATGAAAATGTTTGAGTCAGCACAAATATCAGACAGCAAATGTGGAATTTGTGGAGTGCAGTTACAGGAGATGGCCCCTTACCAAGCATTCCCTGTGGACAGACAAATTTTCACGGAATCTCAAACCTCACAGAATCTTCAACCTCCCAGTCCTTTACAGCTCCCACAGCCAAGTATTAATTCGATGCAGCCAAGTCCATTTAATCGAAGTCCAGAAGTATTGAAGGACAATCCATTTGCCAAGCTGCTTGAAAATCCTTTTGAGCTATTGACTGATTCTGCTCCACAAGTGTCAATTCTGGAAACCAGAGAAGATCATGAACGGAGTGAGAAACACAAAGAAATGGTGAAATTTTACCAGCTCTTCAGAAGCAAATTTCAGAGAGAGATTTCAGACCCACTAGAAGAAGTGAAAAGTTTCATTCAGAAGTATAAATTGGGACCAGAGGTAGCTGAAAAATATTACAAAGGGGAGACCTATCTCATCATAAATTGTTGTAAACAAAAGGATTTGGTGGAGGGCAAAATTAAAAGTATAATTGAGAAATGTGACTGGCAGAATGCAGAAATACAGCAGGATGTGGACATCATGTTGGGACTCTTCTATGATATCAGGAAACATGTGGAGGAAGAAGCAAAGAAAAGGAAAGAGGTGGGTGATGAGAATTATGGTTTACTGAATTTGATGTCCAAGTACTGTAAAATCTCTTATTTTCGTGGAATCGAATTTTCATGGTTTGAGAAAAAAAACTAGACTTTTTTTGTCGTTAACAAAAACCGAGGGCTTTTCGACGCTTTAAATCTCAAGGACCTTAAAGAGCAATAACTCTAACAAAATGAAAAAACATAAAAAAAAAATAATCAGACTGGATCAAATCTTCAGAAGCTTATAAAAATGGAAAACTAAACAGTATGTAATTCTCACTAAGAGCTCTGCAAAGGGGGATAACCCTTTATTATTTTTGAAATTACTAAAAGTTACTATATTTCAGATCTCTAAAACACCTATAAGGGGTCGAAAAATGACCCCATGGACCATAATTTTTAGATTGTACTCTTTAAGCTCAACCCAGAATAGAAAACTGTTCAAAATTCATTGAGAAATAAAAAAAAAGTTACATGGGAAAATCTGTTTTCAATATTAGGCCCTTGAAATCCCTTATTTTTCCGAATTTCATTTTCAGACCCTAATGGGGTTGAAACAATATCAAAGTCATTATTTCACTCATTTTTCAGAAGAATATCTTATTTAGTTTAGGAGATATCGTGACATGTGCATTTTTCCATTTAACATGGGAACTCCCATAGACAAATTCAGAGATTCATCAAACCAGAAGTACTTGTCATATGCATACCAAACTTGAAACCTGAAGAGTATGTAAGCCTGCCAACAGATGTACAAAGGGAGATAACTCTTTCTTCATCATTTTTGAAATAAATAAAAATTACATTATTTCAGTCCCTGTAATTCCTATAAGGGGTTAAAAAGTGACCCCATGGATCATAATTTTTAGATTGTACTCTAAGCTCAACCCAGAATTCCAGAATAAAAACTGTTCAAAAATTCATTGAGAAATAAAAAAAAGTTATGGGCAAAGGTCAGTTTTCAACTTTGGCCACTAGAAATCCCTTATTTTCAAGAATTTCATTTTCAAACCCTAATGGGGTTGAAACAATATCACAGTCATTATATCACTAAATTTTCACAAGAATATCTTGTTTACTTTAAGAGATATCGTGACATGTGCAATTTTCCATTCAACATGGGAACTCCCATAGACAAATTCAGAGATTCATCAAACCAGAAGTACTTGTCATATGCATACCAAACTTGAAACCTAAAGAGAATGTAAGCCTGTCAACAGATGTGCAAAGGGAGATAACTCTTCCTCCAATATTTTTGAAATAAATAAAAATTACATTATTTCGGTCCCTGTAACTCCTATAAGGGGTCAAAAAGTGACCCCACGGACCATAATTTTCAGATTGTTCTCTTTAATTTAAACCGAGAATAGAAAACTGTTTAAAAATTCATTGAGAAATAAAAAAAAGTTAAAGGAAAAGTATGTTTTCAATGTTGGCCCCTAGAAATCCCTTATTTTCCCTAATTTCCTTTCAATGACCTAATGAGGTTGGAACCGTATCAAGGTCAATCTACACTTAAAATCTCACAAGAATATCTTGATTATTTTAAGAGAAAATGTGCCACGACTGATTTTAATTTAACATAGAAACTCCCATAGCAGACTTGTCGAAATCCATCGGTCCCGTCGGCAAGGCTGGTAAAAATTTGTCTGGACCGACAACTTTTAAGAAAACGTTGGTCCAGATGACTGTTTGAAAAAATCGAACGTGATGCAAATTTAATAAAGGTCAGGATTGGGATGCGCAGCTGAAGGTCACAAACACAGAAAAAATGGCCGCGTATGCGGCGTGTTGACGATAGCCAATTAAATTTGTTATAGCAAAGTCATAAAACATGTCATTTGTGTCTTTTATCAGAGAATTTCTATCCCAAGGAAGGAAACTTGTAAGATTGAAGGCTGTTGAAAATAATCCAGGGCATTTTGGTGCTGTTATTCATATCACTTTCACAGTGTCAAAATAAGGTACATGTATCTGGTGTGAGAAAACTTTGACTGGTCCGACAGAACATTTGACTTTGTCAGACCAAATGTCTGACAATGATTTAAAAATTTCGACAAGTCTGCCATAGACAATTTTCAAAGACCCCTAAAACCAGAAGTTCCGCTCGGATTGATATGAAACTTACAGTTTATGTTCTACTTATTAGTATTTCAATGCTCAAAATATTTTTGCTAACGTTAATTGTGACTTTTAAAAATTTCATCCCCCCTTCTTCAATGTTCGTACATGTGTACAATGTACATACGCGAGATATTTACATTTTCTATTTAGTGGTTATAAAAGAAAATACCTATTTTTAAAGGTACTCCTTAAAAGCTGAACGAAAAAAGTGTTCAGTATAATAATAATAATAAAAAAGAGGAAAACAATGGGGCTTTTCACCTGAAAGCGAAAAGCCCTAACTAGACCTTTTTTGTCGTTCAACAAAAACGGAGGGTTCTTACAAGATCATTTCTGAAATTGCTAAATTTTACTATATTTCAATTATCTAAAACTCCTATAAGGGGTTAAAAAGTGACCCCACGGACCTTAATTTTAAAATTGTACTCTCCATGCTAAATTCAAAACCGAAATCAGTTTGAAGATTGGTTAACAAATGAAAAAGTTACGGAAAAACTGTTTTTTGTACTGGCCCCTAAAAATCCCAAATTTTTTGAAATTTTCTTTTCATCACCTAATCACCTGAAGACAATGTAAAAATGAGTATTCCACGAAAATATTACAAGAATTGCTTGCTTTCCTTTTGAGATAATGGAACGTGCGTGATTTCAATTTAACATAGAAACTTCCATAGACAGTTTTAGGAGACTCATAAAACTGGAAGTACTGCTTGGATTAACTTGAAACTAACAGTGCCTGTTCTGTTAATCCTTCTTAACAATTTGTAGTCTTCAAAATATTTTTCCTATATAGTTTTTCAATTTTAAAATTTCCATCCCCCCTTTTCCTACCTTTGGAGTCTTATAACACAAAAATTGATCATAGGTACAATAATGCTGTCGCTAACTTTTTTGTAGGATTTACTTTGAAGAATCTTTTCCTAAAATTTGAATGAATTTCCATAAAAAATAAGAATTTTTAAAGCTCCTAAAGAAATCTTAGTTTTCTACTTGAAAATACTGGAAGTGACATCTCCGAAGTAGAAAACCTTACATACGCGAGACATTTAGGTATGCTATCTGATGGTTTTAATATAAAATACATGTATCCAAGGGTTCTCTTTAAATCCGTGACAAAAAAGTGTTAGGTATAATAATAATAATGATAATAAAACAAGACGAAAACAGTAGGGCTTTTCACCTGAATGCGAAAAGCCCTAATTAGTTATTTCACAGTATACATATGTACATGCCAGTTGTTTCTTCATAAACTCTAATATACATGTACCAGTTATTAGGCCATTCTTTTTATACTAAGTATGAATAGGGTACTCCATATACCTGATCAATACATAGAGCTCATGGCCAGTGTGACCGGTCAACAGGGGATGCTTACTCCAGTGTTCATCCTTGATCTCATTGAAATTCAAACCCAAGCCTCATACGTGTTTTCAAATGGAAAGAGACTGTGTGATAATATGCTTCATTTTAATTTTTTAACCAGAAATCAGACAGACAGAGGGAAGAAGCTCAGCGTGCCAAAGCCAGCCCAGAGAATTGGGAGGATGAGTATGATCCCATTGAGCCAGTGGTGGAGGAACCTCAGAGAGAAAAACGTCCCAGAGGGAGGGGGAAAAAGAAAAGCATGACACACTGAGAGGGAAATAATAGATAACACACTGAGGGGGGATAGTAGACGAGGAAGAGACTTTATTTTTTTATAGTGATTAGCATTAAGTGACATGACTGTATCATAAATATTTTAGAACATGAACTTTTTCTTTGATTGAAACATATTGTGTAGGTTGTTATTACTTTAGCAAGCTTATTTATGTCACCCTTCTATATATAATTTTAATTTTATCAATTCAAACAAAACTTGATATATCCATCTTCTGTAAATTGAGTTTGTGTTGACAATATGCTGAGTTTTTATGCAAGGTAATGAAAAGTGGTACCAGATATTCTTTCTAAAAATGTAGAACCAAAAATTGGCAAGAATTATAAAGTGAAACTTGTCTAATCTGGATGTTGTGTATTCCAAAATCTTGCTTAATACAATGTAAGCATTAAGTTCCTTGCAGTAGATTCAATTGTTTAAAATGTTGTGTAATCCGGAATGTCTAATCCAGCCAATTTCTATGGAATTGTTGGTGTCCAGATAAGACAAGTTTTACTGTATAAAGCATGAATTTACAAATGATCAATCATGATCCTGAATCGAGGATGATAAGAAAATACTGATGTTTCAGAAAGTATGATCACTGTTATTTTTTTTTTTTAAATCGTGTGCAAACATTGTGATGAATTAAATTTTTTTGGTCCTTGAACTTCAATGGGATTTTTGGAAAAGAAATGATGAGTTTTCATGGAGAAATCTAATTAAACCATGAAAGTTTATTTAAAGAAATGCTAAATCCCAGTCTACAAATATATTTGTAAAGAAACTGTTTATTAGATTTACTCTCTATGTAAATTAAGTCAAGCAGTGTGATTTGTGATCAGTATTTATTTTATTAAACGTAAATTTGAGAGAAAAGGGAAAAAAAAGAAAATTGGCATTTTTTCAAAAGCAGCAAGAGCAATTCTATTGGGATGAACAGTTTACATAATTTTTGAGACTATGATGGGATGGTAGGATTTTTTTAAAGAAAAATTGCAAGAAAAAACATCACCAATATGTACTCCATGTCTGATCATGCTGATTTAGAAAGTCCTCTTGCTCTGTGTATGAGGCCTTTTAGATAACTGCTGCTCTTTGTAGTTTTGATTTGATTCGCCTGTTAGAGGGGTAATGAAATATGGTTTTGAATGTGTTTTTCTGTTGTTATTTTTTCTTTCAATAAAAAATAAGAAAAATGTTTATCTATTAACCTTGTTATTTATTACAAAGGTGTCACCAACCCAAAAATCGACAGTAGTAAGAGTTGCGTTTCTTTGATTAGTTCTTTTTTCTAAGTAGCTAGTTTTACAATGGAAATGTATTTCTGCCTGGGTTATTATTACTGTGATAAATTATACCCCTGCCCCGTAGGAGACAGGGATACACTGTTTTACCATTGTGTATCCATCTGTCCGTAACAAAGTTTCGTTGCAGTTTTCTCGGCAACTACTGTTTGCAGATGCTTGAAAGTTTTGGAATGCCATATGGTGGAATTCGGTTTTGTACTAGTCCGATGTCAACTTCCTGTTTATATGTGCGTCTGTCCGTACCAAATTTCTGTCCCAGTGTTCTTGGCAACGTAGATGCTAGTCCGAATATCTGACGTTTTGCAGGCTTTTTTCACGATTTTGATATTTTAAGTGCCAGGAAAACGTAAAATATAAAAATAGTAAAAAAAGAAAAAACCAGGAAAACGTCAGATATTTCGGACTAAGTAGATGCTTGAAATTTTAGTACACTCCTTGTTATGGCATGTCATATGGTGGGATTCATTTTTCTACGAATTCAATGTCAACTTCCTGTTTATCCATGCGTCTGTCCGTACCAAATTTCCGTTGCAATTAAACTTCATTTACATCAGAGCGGGGGTATTACAAGTGAGCACTTACAGACTTCTTGTTATTCCTAGGTAAACTATATAGTCAAGGTCACAGACAGGAGTAGAATTCTTGGCCAAGTGATGATATATCTTACAGAGATTATTATTTGTTCAAGTTTGCGAAAGTCGAGAATGTACATGCAGGATAATTCTTTAAGTTACAGTCTTGAATATTTTCGAGTCTTGTTAAGCAGTTAAACTGTTTTGTATGATCATAATAAGCAAGGTGTCTTTTACCAAAACTAGAGTGTTCCAAGGAACGCATATGTCGTCTGCTTTGTAGCTTTATTAAAGATGTAAATTAATCTACGAGTGGTCAGCTGTATATTTACTACAAGCATGATACTTCATGCATTTTCCTGCAAAGAAAAATAAAAGCATCCATGGATAGTACAAGACTGCGGTAAATTTGACAATCAAAGAAAAAATGGTTTTCCAACCCTGAAATGAATAATTAAATTGGAATTTTAGAAATAAATATTTATCTTTTGATTAATACGCGTTTCCAGCAATCCTCCAAAAAGAGATTTCAGTCTGTCTTTACTGCATTGTCTGTCTACACGTATTTTGATCGTATTTTAAATATAACTTTGTGTGGTAATTGAATATCAAGCATTTTTAAAGTACAGTATCATGAGTTCAAAAACATGTATAAATGCTAATTATCAAAACCCCGTGGACCTTTTCACAAAAATCTTAAGACTAAGATTAAAATCTGACAGCTCTGAATTTTTTGTTTGGTAAAGATATTAATTTTTTCTAAAGAATAATTCACAATATATTCTATTGTGATAGAAATATAAGATATTTTGTGACCTTTTACAAACTTACACACTTTTTGGAGAATTGAAAATTTGTTGTCATAGTCGTAAGATATTTGTGAAAAGGTCCACTGCCTCTAAAAATTCAAAAGTCATAAGTTACACTGCCATGGGTATTTTTTGCAGAGTAGGTCAAGGTCAAGTGGATTGTAATGCTGGTATTTTTCATACTGTTTTATGACAAACAGTGCAAATTCTAAATAGCATAGACTTGCCTTTTAAATGTCAAAAAATATGCTGTACATGTATATCGGCACTATGAACTATTTCGAAAAGAAGGTCAGGGGTCACGAGGTCGGTAATTATGGTAAATTACAAAAGCCATAGAGCCAAGCAATATATCTGCAAAATACCAAATCCATACGTCTTACTGTTTTTGAGATATAAAATGTGACAGACAGATTCCAGGTAAAGTAATCTCTAAGTGTCGCTCTGCTCTGCAGGCGACACAGTTATGAAATTCGTGGCCCAAGAGTCGGGGGTTCTGGAGTTAGGGTGGAGCTCAAATTATAATACAGTGAAAATGCATTAATTTTTTGAAAATCATCTTTTCTGCTCCTGAGTGTTTAGCAGATAAACTAAATGATAGTTTTCATGATGAGCCTCTTATGATGATCTTTTCCAAAATTGTAAAATTCATGGGTCAGGGGTTCTAGTGTTAGGGCATGACTCTTTTGATTAATGCTTTGAAATTCCTTTGCGCTCATTGACATCTAGGAGGCAAACAGAGAACAAAAGTTACAAGCAAATTCAAAGACGTTTTGTCTTAGTGGATGGGATGCCATTATTTAAGGCATATTATAACTTTCTTGTCTTGTGTCCTGTATTGTCTATGCATCATACAAAAAGACGTAAATTTATGAATTAATAACAGTTATGGCAAAGATTATAGCTTCTCAAAACTACATCAAACTTCAAGATCAAGGTCATGAGCTCAAGTATAGTACAATAAGAAAGGTCTTGTCACAAGTAATGCATATGTGAAAATAATTTAAAAAAAAAATAACAGTGTATACAATCGGAAAGGTCTTTGAAACAGGTAATGCACATGTCAATTGTAAATGCAATGTCTTCTCTCATTCAAAAGTTGTCAGCAATGTTATTGTTTTTTAAAATTAGGTCAAACTCAAGGTCAGGGTCATGGGGTTAAAAATTGTACATTTGGAAATGCTTGTCACAGGTAATGCACGTGTCAAATATGAATGCCCTGTCTTCGCTCATTCAAAAGTTTGCAACACTGATAAAATGTTTGAAAATTAGGTCAAACTTGAAAGTCAATGCCACGGGGTCAAATATCATAGCAGATTCAAAAACATTTTGACACACGTTTTGTTTGTTTGTTTGTATGTTGTTTAACGTCCCTCTCGAGAATTTTTCACTAATATGGAGACGCCACCACTTGCCGGTGGAGAGCTGCAAATTTTGTCCTATACTCGGCACTAAAGGCGATTGAGCAGTGATGGGTCTTTTTCGTGCCAGCACCTACTGCGACACGGGACCTCGATTTATACGGTCTCATCCGAAGGACCGGTCTCCACGTCCCACAGTGGGATTCGAACCCGCGACGTAAGGATCAACTCCTTACTCCGCGACTCTAGAGCAGACGCTCTAACCACTGCGCCACGCGGACGACACAGGTAATGCATTTGTCAAATATGAACGCCCTGTCGTATGTCGGTCAAAAGTAATCACCAAAGTTAAAATCTTTGAAAATTAAGTCAAACATGAAGACAAGGGGTCAAAAATCATGGCATGCTCAAAAACATCTTGTCACAGGTAACGCACTTGTCAAATATGAAAGCCTTATATTTTCTCAATAAGAAGTTAAAGGAAAAGATAAAAGTTTGAGAAGTAGGTCAGACTTCAAGGTCAAGGTCACGGGATCAAAATCCATAGTGTATATAAAAAGTTCTTGTCACAGGTAATATACATATATCATATGAAAGTCCTATCTTTTCTCATTCAAATTTGATGACCAATTTAAAGTAATGCTAAAAAGTAAAATTAAAATTTTAGTAAAGTATGTCAAACTTTAAGGTCAAGGTCACGAGGTCAAAAGTCATAGTATATTTGGAAAGGTCTTGTCACAGGTAATGTACACGTGAAATAAGAAAGCCCTTTTTCTTCTCATTCAAAAATTATGACCAATGTTAAAGTTTTTGTGTCAGACTGACGGACAGACTGACAGACGAATGAGATTTAATGTCCCCTCGCTTTCGCGAAAGCGGCGGACAATAATTAGAAACGGTATTTTTACCAGTTTTTTTTTAATTGAGGACTCTTGGGTCTAGTTTGTGGTGTTGGGCAGGGCTCTATTGATCTTGAAGGGAAATGTACTCTACTGAGAGAAGTTATTCCCCTTTGCTATTTACGTATGATAATTTATCACGCGAATAATGTTAGGCTAACTGAATAAAAGATTTATATAAGAATAATAAGTAATTTAAAAAGTACTTTCATAGTTTTAATGGTCGGATAGACTTGTTAATTATAGATAATTAAAAATTAGACCAAAGTACTTTATCTTTATTCATTAAATATTCTTGAAAGTCCGAGAGAATAGTAGGGGCTGGCTTTAGTCAGACTGACGGGTTTCCTAAATGTGCACAAGTACTATTGTTTTGTTGTCCCCCGCTTTCGCGAAAGCGAGGGGACCCTAAATCTCGTTCGTCTGTCCGTCACAAAAACTTTAACTCATAACTTTTTGACCCCGTGACCTTGACCTCGAAGTTTGACCTACTTTTCAAGAAATTTTATCTTTACTTATAACTTTTGATTGAGAAGAGATAAGGCTTTCATATTGACATGTGCAATACCTGTGACAAGATCTTTCCAGACATAATATGTTTTTGACCCAACTTGACCCCGTGACCTTGACCTTGAAGTTTGACCTGCTTTTCAAAATGTATATCTTTATTAAAACTTTTGGTTGAGAAGAGATAAGGCTTTCATATTTGACGTGGGTATGTTATGATTTTGACCCTTTGACCTTCATGTTTGACTTAATTTTCAAAAAATTTAGCTTTGCTGATTTCGTTTGAATAACATACGATAGGGTTTTCATATTTGACAATTGCATTACCTGTGTCAAAATGTTTCCAAATATGCTTTGATATTTGACACCGTGACCTTGACTTTTAAGTTTGACCTATTTTTCAAACATTTTATCCATTTTGCTAACTTTTGAAGGAGCGAAGATAGGGCATTCATATTTGACACGTGCATTACTTGTGTCAAGCATTACCAAATGTACTCTGATTTTTAATCCCATGACCTTGACCTTGAAGTTTGACCTACTTTTCAAACATTTTAATACTGCTAATAACTTTTGATTGAGAGTTGATTTACATTTGACATGTGCATTACCTGTTTCAAGACATTTCCTACTGTATAGTCTGGTTAGCTCTACTGGTCAGAGACCAGAAGAGCTTATGCGATAGTAAGGTGTCCGTCGTCCGTTCGTCTGTTTGTCCGTCTGTCTGTAAACAATTTTTCAAAAT